CACCACACATAGCTTTAGTTACAGACTGAAATCAGTTGATGTTGTTTTTTTTTACTCCATCCTATTATTTTTCATTCATATACATTTCAATTATCTTCAGCCTTTATGACAATTCAAAAAACGTTCATCTGACCACACTGACAAAAGCAAAAAGACAAAATCCTACAGATGATAAAAAGACTACTGTACATCACTTTTACAGCTTGGTCTTTTTTTTCTTCAGTGTGTCTGGTTTGGGTTCAGGACGTGGGTGTCAGCTGATTGAAAACCTGTCCAAACATTGCCACCATGTGGTGAACTTGTTGTACTGCGGTGAGATTACATCATTGCTCTACATGCCTTCCAGTCAGTTGTGTTTCAGCTGTGTTTAAGGTCAGGAGTTATGAGTATTGTGGCTGATTTCATACCCAGAGAAACAAGACAAGATGTGGGCAATACACACATGACAAGAACAGAGTGCACACGCCAACATCAGAAACGTTTGTGCATAATAAAACACATACAGACATTTTAGAATATATACATATATATATATATGTATTTGGTGAATGACTGTACAGTATGCATATGGAGGCTTATAGATGCTGTGCTTACATATACAATTTGTAAAGAAGAGATAAAGAAAGAAGCGAACAGCATTGAGAGCATATCCAGTGCAGCAACGCTTAAAAACTTAATATATTCAAACTGAAGAGTATAACTCGTGTAAATATGCAGAAACAGTGAATGATAAACTCTGGAAGCAGCTGTGTTGTTGTTGCTCTTGTTAAGCACACAGCAGAGACCCGGGAGCAGATGATTCCCCATATGAGAACATCTAACAGTGACCTCTTTTTCACCTGACTCATGCATCTGTGTGCGTGCGTGTGTGTGTGCGTGTGTGTGTGTGTGTGCGTGTGTGTGCGTGCGTGCGTGCGTGTGTGTGTGTGTGTGCCAATGCACCATTGAAATGACAAGAAACTGTCCGTGCACATGTCTTTTCCAAAGCTGAGTTAATAGGGATGTTTCTGGGATTTTTCAATGTCAATCTGTTGGTCAGTCTGTCAGTCCACTACATTGGTCCAGAAGGAAATGTCTCTAAGAATACTAGATGGGTTATACCTGTTAGTATGTTAGCATTTAGCTCAGAGCCTCGCTGTGCTTAAGTACAGTCTCTCAGAGCCACTAATGGCTGTAGACTCTACTGAGACAACGTCCTTTCGTGCGTCTGGGTGTGTGTCTATTCAAGGCCTGCCTGGCACTATCTTATTTCTATTTTATTGTTCCAGGATAGTATTGTTGATTTGGGCAATTCAATTTAACGATAAAGTTACATAACAAAAATCTACATTTACCTGCTTACTTGTATGCCCATTTTAAAACCTACATGTGGTAGGTTGTCTATCTTGTCTTTTTAAAGCATTTTGTAAATGTTTTGCTGTAAGAAAAATGAGCGTTTGTTGACTACCTAAATATATCTGATTGGAAAGTAACGTGTGTGTGTGTGTGCGCTTGTGTGTGTGTGTGTGTGTGTGTGCGCGTGCTTGAATTTGTGAACTACCTCAACATCTATAACAGAGACCAACACAGCTGACTGCAGCTCATTACTGCAGGTCAAGACAGGTTGTGGGAAAGAGGAAACACATCATTAAACTGAATGAGCCACATTTATTGGCCGTCCTTTAGGGCTGTGAATGTCAGGAGTTGAAACCATTATTTCAAATCAAGTCTGAAAGTTATCTTGTTATTCTTTCTTAAAATACATCGTTTTTTTTCCTGAGATCTTGTACTATTTAACAGCCAGTCGTGTGTGCTGTGTTAGCAGGAAGATGAATCATGACTGCGGGGTCTCAGACCCTCTCTCGCTCTCTGGACATTCCTGGAAACAACACTGGAAGAAGAAGCTGCCAGAACAGGTGGAGGGTTTCTTTACTGTGGATACTCCATAAATCAACTTCCTTTTTAAAGAGACAAAGTTCTGCCTGCAAACATACTGATAACATGACACTGAATATAATCGTATACATACAGTAGATGCGGAAAATAACCAAGTACTGTAGTGCAATTTTAGGTAAACTTTGATAGAATATGTAATTGAACATCAGAGACTTTATGGTTTTACATAAACAAATTAGATAATTCATGTAATTACTGTGGAGGTCTTACTGTAGTTTGTGGAAAATGATTTTCCACTGACACAATGGTTACTATTGAGCTCTAAGGCTTCAAACTTAACCACCAACAATACCCAAATTAAATTAAAACGGATGATTTTATCTATCATGCTCATTCGTACTCATTTCAGGAAAGACACCGCTACAACATAATCATCCTATTGAGTTGCTTGTAATTATCTTTTTAATGGGTGATTAAAATTTCTATTCCTGCATTGTTAAATTGGGAATCAGCTGTGCAGCAGGATTACTGTAGACATAAACCAATACCGCTGAGTAATGATCTCTTAATGAAATTGAGAGGTTTTCAGTAATTGCCCGCATGGTCTCCTGTTCAGGCTACATGCTAATTTCTGACAGTGACCTTGACCATTGTGAAATTCTCCACTAATAGCATTATTATTAAGTCAATCAACTGATTTCTCTGCGCCGCTCAGTTAATTAAAACAGAACCAATTATTCTAGTTATTACCGCTTATCATACAACTACTATGGCTACAAATGTGTGTCCCCGACTCTTTGTTTCAGTCCAACACCATGTAAAAAAGCCCAAATGTTTCCGATCAACAAATCAACCAGCGCATGTAATCAGTAATAATTTATTGATCACACATACTCGTACAATTAGTATAGCTTGGAAAGTACAGATTTGATTCAATGCTGAGAAGGGGAAGGTTGGGAGACACAGCTGTGTGTGTGTGTGTGTGTGTGTGTGAATATGTAATGTAAATATATATTGAATATTAGCGCTGACCTTAAAAAACAAGTTTATCATCCATAGTGTGCGTGTGTGATTTGTCCCACAGATAAAGGGCACAGAACATGAATTAATTACAGGAACTTCTGAAACAGTTACCAGCTATTTCATTCCACTTTTCTTTTTTTCTTACTCCCTTACTGAATGCAAAGTGGGAACAACAAGGGAACATGCTAGGGAAAAAACGGGAAATCGGGAGGACAGGTGGAAAACGTACATATAGAAGAAAGAAATAAGAGTCTGGGTATGGATAAATACAGTATATATACTGTATATATCATGTTTTAAAAGCTCCTAATAATTTGCACCTGTATCTAACTGCATACAAAGTTTGCAGAGATTTCCAGTTTGAATGCAGCAGAACCAACTGTTTTGACACTGGTGTACTCCCGAAACAAGGATGAAAGAAGAGTTGCATTTCAGTAGCATGTGTAGTACACAGTACACAGGTCTATGTGTAGTACACAGTACACAGGTCTATGTGTAGTACACAGTCCACAGGTCTATGTGTTGACAGTAGAGATACAGGTGGAGATGGAGAAATAAAAAGCAGCAAGGAGTTTCAACTGACAAACTAAAAGATCAAAGCTGTTTCTCACTTTCTCCTGGTGTACGCTGTAGAATAAACATTTCATATCAGCAAATAAAATCACTACAGTCCACAGGAGTCAGACCTGGATTAATTAATGGAAACATCCCAGCGGAAATTAGATGTAGCCCACCAAATTTGGAATTCAAATGTTTAAGAAGCAAATGTTTGGCTTGTAATCAGCCATAAATCAGTGCAATCCTCTTATAAATGAGGTCCAAAAGAGCAAATATAAGGGGGAGAAGAAAAAAAAGCAAGTGAGAAGAAGGGAGAAAAACGGCAATGAGAAATGGCATATCACATCACCAGGTCGTATCTGCAGTGATGGATCGCTGTTAACGGTGTGTACTGTTTATCCATGCGGTGTGTGGGTTATTGTTGGATCCATGTGGCCTAAGGGCGATGTGCTGTAGTGGAGCATGGGGGGATTTATCTATAGAATAACAGTGTCAGTATGTACATCTCTCAGAGACGAACACAACAGCGGGAGAGTCTGCCATGGTTATTTTAATTCTGCAGACAAGAGAGACACAGAAACTGTAGGCGGACAGATGTGTGTAGGAGAGTTTGACAGCAGTATTTACATTCAGAGGGCCGACAGATACACTTAAAGAGACAGGAAGGAAGGTTCTGTGAAGTTGAGCTGTAAATGTCATCAGCTGTTACAGCTGATTTTTATTTTGTTTCATTTACAGAATTCAGAAAACTGATATCTGTCACAAGGCTTTATTGGATGACTAATTAATTATTTCTTTAAAAGGCATTATTTTTGCTCCAATTGTAAAAAGCATTTGAGTCGTCTTCATATCAAGAATTTCATCATTTCCATGCAGAAAACAGATAGGAAAATACTTGAACTTCCAAACCCAGTGGCACTAAAATTAGGACAGGCAAGCTTAAGCTCTGAATGTGAGCATATAATAGAGTAGAGGATAAAGGAATAGAAGGGCTCTGAGCAGAGAGATGGGAGTAAGGGTGGCAAAGAGGAGGGAGAAAAGAATGAGAGAAGGTCAGAGCTGTGAGGCCTTAGGGGTTAAAACATGGCATCAAGAGAAACACAACAATGGCTAAAGTGAACATAGTGTACCTGTTATATACAGTACATGTGTTTACACATGCAGTGAGAGACAATGAACACTTTAAGGTAGGACAAAATCAAAGTCCCTCATTGTGCATCTCTCCTGCTTTAATACTGTGGTAAATACAGCTGTGGTTAACAAGACGGTGATTGTAAATATCCCATTCAGGGACAAGCAACATTCAGTGAGAAGTGAGTAGTAGATTTGATACTTGTGTACATTAATTGTTTTGTTCCAACTTGAGATATTCACCTTAAAAAAAACACCAACTTACAAAATAATGTGTATCGGAGAGTTAAAACAAGCTATGGCACATTTCAACAGACAGTGGTACTGTAAGGGAGCTGAAATGGGAACACGTTTCACATTTCAAGGGTCACCTTTAGGTCATTACCAAAATTTATAAATAACATTTTTTTTGGCATAAAACTCTTCATATATATTATTTTCATGCCATGTCATGCATTTCCTAATGTTATGGCGCAGTGCCCTAATGCTTTGTAAATAACTTATGAACACCGGTTACATCTGGTACATGGTTGGTTGATACTGAACATTTGTGATTTGTCACGCAGGATAAGTGTGATCGGAGGGCTCAGAATAATCTCATGAACACAGCAATTAAGACTCATATGCAGAATATGTATTCTGTACCATTTTTTTAAATGACAATAAATATTTGTGTGGCATTGATAAATACAAGGTGGGAAACACACATGAAATAGGACTTTTAACAGTTAAGCAAGGCTTATTAAAAGCAAAACATTTTCTTCAGGCTGCGACTAAGACACTTGTGGGGCGGCTGTGAGAATGAGGAGAATTTAGAAAGTTGGCTCAGTTATGTGGGTTGTTTGGACCCATTGGAGCAGAATTGAAAATTACACATTAGGGCTTCAACAGAAAAAAGCATCCCATCTTTGCAAACTATTTGTCGACTGGCACCATTAACTTCTTGCGGTCTCCATGGAACTGATCCCAGTCACAAAATGGTCTGACAAAATGAGGGAAAAGGGTGTCTTAGCTGAAGGACGTGTACGCGATGAAACTACAATTGCAAAACATAGGCGACTGTGTGAGATGGATGGGGAAGTAGGGCCAACAGTGATCACAGGGGGAGTGACTAAGCTATAGTTGCCTGATGGGGGGGAGGTTAAGGGTGTCCAGAGCGCTGTGGTAGAGCTCTCTCAACGCTCTCAACAGATGCAGACGACAAAACATCTGGTTGAAGAGATGAGGCAACGGCTCCTGGAAGGAAAAACAGAAAGACGAGAGAAAGAGAAAGTGTGTGGGGGAGTTAAAGAAAGAGAAAGAAGAAAGGTGATGATGGCATGAAAGGGAGGTTTAGTAAGAGACAAAGAAAAATATGAAATATTGCAAACCTCAGACTGAGCTGATGTGTTTTTTGTCAGAATGTGTAATCACATTCTGTCAGTGACAAAAAGTCACCAGACGGGGCAATGGGCTATTAACACACTAATCTCCATATGATGTAAAACAGGAAGGGAACATGCGCGCGCGCGCGTGCACACACACACACACACACAACACACACACACACACACACAAACACACACACACACACACACAAGCTTAAATTGATAGATATTTACAGACATTTATCACCAAAAATAAAGACTCGCTGAAGGAGTGCTCATAATTACTTCTGAATAAATGAATACATAATATACATACATATACTGTAATGAGGGTTTATAAATATATAGAGTAAATGAATCCTCACCCCCAGCACATGGACCCTGTTGTAGTACGAGCTGAAGTCTTTACTGAGAGACACGAGAAATTTACAGATCTGAGGAACACAAAAAAAAACACGTGCATGAGTGAGATAAACATCTTAACAGCAGAGTTTGGTTTAATACACACCTTCAGTAATCAGTGAATCTAAATCCACTGACCTGTTCACTCTTAAGATTGACTCTGGCTCCACCCCCTTCACAGTCTAACGCTTGTCCTGATTGGTCCAGCAGCTCGGAGAAGGGGATGAGGTAATTGAACAAGAGAAGCCACTCGCCCTGACGGTCAAAACACAGACAGCCCGGTAGGATTAACTACATGTTGGTAGAACTTCTAACGGAGTATTTTTTAATGGAAAGAAAGTAACATCAAATGAAAGGAAACCTAAAGACATGAAAGGAGTAGAATAGCATAGAAGATAATGACGTAGTACCTCTTCTTTCAGAGCAGAGAAGTCTAGCTGGGAGCCTTCGGGGATTTCAGGGTATAAACCTGCCGATAAAAAAAAAAAAGTCAGAAAACTACATGAACAATGTAATACAATCCTGAAACAACCAGTTTTGTAAAGCTGTTTCACTCTTAAAATGGAATAAAATACAAAAAAAAGCTTGTGAATTTCACCCAGGGGTCAATAAAGTTTTAATCTTAATTTATAATATTACATCACAATTTACTTGTTGATCATATGTTGTATTATTAATCCGAATCTGCAAATGAATGAATCTCTTGCAGAGCACAGCTCTCACCCTTCTCCACTCCTCTCTCGTAGCTGTCGAACAGAGTGTGCAGCCTGGCACAGTTATACATCACAAACACGCCTCCTCTCGGCCCTTTGGTGGACACGCCCCCTTCACGCTGGAGGTCCAGTGTCACCTAAACAGACAGCTTTGTCAGTCACTTTAAAAAAAATGTGTGGCTGCCGGCTGACAAAGAAAACTTGCCTGCCGCAGTGGCAGGAAGTGAAAAAAGTTAATTTTCAAACCCTGCCTGTGTGACACATGCAGGTGCAAACACACAGGTGTGGTGATGATGACTCACTGGACTGGTGTGGACCGTCGACAGAAGCTCAAATCTGACAGTGGCAGAGGTCATGACCCTGATGATGTCATCCCACGTCTGACCTACAAGAGGAAGAAGAGGCGGTATTTCACTCCAGTTAACTCACCTTAACTGCAGTTAATGCCAATTAGTATCAGTCAGGTCACTTAGATAAGTAAGGAGCATGTAATTAACAATGAGTGTGTACACACACACACCCACCTTCTACTTGATCTCCATACTTCATCTCTGAGGCCTCCTTCATCTGACCTCTTCTCAGCCTGGAGCAAAGGAGGAAGAAGGAAACAGTAGGAGCCTCGTTTACACAAGACAGCCGGGGCTACAAATGTGCAGCGATAACGCAGAGATGAAGATAGCGCCATCAACGCCCATAGTGTTCTTTTAATTCAGTTTAATTAGAGCTGCAATTTCAAAGTTCACACAAGATCCTAATGAGAGTGTCTTTTGTGATAATAAACGTCTGTCTAGTGGAGAGCTAGGCAAAGAGATCGGGAAGACAAGTGGAGACGGAGGGAAGATAAAAGGAACCCAAAGACAAAGAGAGAAATGTGGTTGTAAAGACAAGAGAAGAGACACAACAGTAGACAAAGACAGTGATGTGTCTTACTGCAGATATTGTGCAGCCGTGAGGTGAGAACCAGGAGTCTTCACCGGCCCACACACCAGATGCCTCTGCAGTGACAGAGAGCGGAGCAGGTAAAAATAGGAACACAGTGCAACACCTGATTGTGTGTGTGTGTGTGTGTGTGTTGTTACCTGCGTGTGTGTCGCTCCACTGGCTCTCCACAGCACCGCTATCTGCTGCTGACGGAACTCATCCTGACAGGAAGTCACATGTAACGCTGTTGCCATGGCTACCTATAAAGGAGGTAGCAAAGACATATGAATCAATGCTTTGTTTTTTTCTGTAGTTTTTAAATGGAGAAAAAAAAGGAAATCATCAGGCTGTGTGTGTGTGTGTGTGTCTTACTGTGCAGTCAGCAGTGGCTCGGTCCAGTTGCGCCAGGTGAGAAACACTGTCTCTGTGTACTGAAACAGACACACCAACAATGTCTTACTAGTAAATATACAAAACCAACTATCTCTTATCTTGCTAAAATGTGTTGATTTTCAACCTTATCTCTGCCTTTCTGAGTTTGGTATATAGTGGGACGTGTGCAGTCTGACATTCTGACATTACTGACATTCTCTGTGTCTCTGGGAGGCAGCGGCAAGATCTGTTGTTGTAACGTATACCAGTGACGTGACAGTGACGCACTTGGTACACAGAAGAACTACAGAGTGCTGATTCAGCTTTGGTAGCTGTGGGGCGCAATGCCACTCAAAATCTTCCTTGTTCTCTCTCTTTGCTTGTGTTACCTTTCCAACAGCCAAAAATGGCATCCCGAAATAGATTTTACAGTGTTTTAGCTGACTCGAATATTCAGCCGTGTTCAGCCATAGAGCTCAAGGCTGCAGCGGGGGTGATGTGGCAGCAGGGACTCTCTAAAACATGAGCTGCCAACAAACCCCAACTGGTGGTGTCTTTGCTCAAATTGCCCTCCGATGCCAACAGAACAATCATTCTGCTCTGATGAATGTCAGAGAAGGCAGTTTTTTTTGTTGGATGCTGTCGCTGACGACAGCCCGGAGAGAGAGAGAGTCGTGTGTGCATTACTATGCATAAACGTTTTACTGCTCATTGGACCGAGGTTTGCTGGAGACATTTCTTCAGTACCCCAAAGATGAACTGGGAAAGACAACCAGCAAGTGCAATTTCGGTGTGATTTTTGTCATTGGACTTTTCTTATTAAATGGTCTGTCTTTTAGAAAGAATGAGGCAACGGCACAGAGACACAGCGGAGGTAAACAGCGTGTAGAGCCGCCATGTTTTCACATCTTACTCTGGGAATTAAGGATATATTTCGACCAAACCAGAATTGCTGATTGTTGGAACCGTGGGAAGTCTAACAGACTAATGGTATTGGTGGCGTTTTGAGAGTTTATTTTGTTTATTTGTGAGATGTAGCAAAACTTGCCCTTCGCACACACAATGCATCCTGGTACATGTAGGCACAGCCAGCACGGCTCCGTGGCAGGAGAAATTAGCTTTCTCAGTCGATATAGCAAGCACTGGGAAATATATTTTTTTCAGTGGACTACATTTACATGGTAACACATGCAACACTGTCATGGTATGAAAGGAATAGTTCAACATTTTGGGAACTACACTTAGTTAGTTGAAATCACTCTCACATCTGTCTGTTAAAGGTTCCCTGTGGAATTTATTTTTAGAAAGAATTTTCTCACCTATGCAGGTACCAAGGCTGGGGTCGTATCCCAGCAGCCCCTCCTCCTGGAACACTCGTTTCAGGTTGACCCTGAGAGCTCTCTCATTCTCCCCCTCCTCCGCCTTCCTCCCTCCTCCTCCTCCTCCTCCACCTCCTCCTCCTCCACCTCCTCCACCTCCTCCTCCACTGGTCCTCCTGCCTCTCTCCGTTTCCCTCTCTCTGTACGGGGAGTTCTGCAGAGCCTCCTGAATCTTCTCCTCCCGCTCCTCGTTGGTCCAGTTGGCTGGGGCTGTCGGCCAATCGATGCCCAGAGCTCGGAGAAAGGTGATGATGTCGCTGTCTTCGGGAAGCATGGGGCAATAGGACACTGCCAATCTGAGACAGGTAAGGAGAACGGTACTGATCACAGCTGCCAATTGAATCTACGGCTGCATAATTATTTTCACGAGCAATTGATCTACCTATTACTTTTTCAATTAACTAATCATTTAGTCTTTTATTTTTCAGAAAATATTGAGCCCAATTTAGAACTGTGCAATTGACCCAAAGACTCACCCCTGTCTTCTCAACAGCGCCCCCATGTGGTCAGCTAACAGAACAGTCCTGAGCTGGCCCAGAGTCAGTGTTTCAGGAGTGGGTGTGTTGGGTTTAGGGTGCAGCGCAGGGCAGTTGAGCACCACACAGCCTGGCTTCTGGCTCGAGGGCTTCAGGTACTCTGTGGCTCCATCTGCCAGGACAGCCTTGAAAGCTGCGGCCCGGTCCACCCTCACCCTCAAGCCCTCACCCATTACCTCCCCACCAGCCACGGGGAGAATGCCACTGCCACGGAGGGACAGTACCCTGGACATCACTGATGGAGGGACCTGGGCAGGTGAAGGGAGCAATTAGAGACTCATATATATGCATGCATTAACAAAAAGTATATGTGAATGTTTGAGGAGGGAAAGATGTGAGGGCAAATACATGTGCATGTATGCCAAGTAGGTATGAGTTGATGTTCTACATTCATACTAGTAATAATATACTTATAGCTTTTACCTTCAGATGTCTGTCTGAACAACTTTTGCACATGCATGTGTGGTTATAACATTACAAAACTGCATATCAAAAAAATATCAGATGGTGGTATCTGCTTCAAAAACCCACATCAGTATCTGCAAAATCAACATGCAAAAAAAATATCAGCATCCTCTTACACAAGGATGCATGAACACGCCCACTTGTACAACGTGCCGGAGGTGTGGGTTCAAAGATACATTTGTTTGAATTATTTACACTCGGACATAACCGAAATGAGGCCACATTTTATGACATTTATGTGTACGAGCTATGGAAGAGGCCCCCGTGGTGTTCAGCTGTGTTAGCTGCGTGTTTGTGTGACCCATATTGCACGTGCAACTCATGGGTTAATAATTACTGCCGCGGGCTGTTACTGTCTGGTCGATCATGATGAGGCAAAGTCAGCGGTCACAGGATTCAGCAGTCACCGTATCACTCAAACATATTCATGATTTGATGATTTAAAGGACTCAGGTCAGCGTTCACCTCTTTTAATCAAGCAGCCAATTGGCCTCAGCTGAGCGCTATAAAGCAGTGAGTTCCGGTCACGCCGAGTCGCGTTTGTAACCGTTGAAAAACACCATCCGTCCATTTAAATATCACTGCGCTTAACAAAATCACTCGCGCGATTTAGCGACGGTCAAGGACGGAACTATACTGCTGAGTGGAAGAACACAATGTCAAAGAGTACGAAGTTGAACGCGTGAACCAGCGATGTTTAACATGCCCGGCTATGATTCCGGTTTAATAAACACGTCTCTGTCAGTGCATCTAGCGTCAACTGAAACACATAAATAAGGCAAAAACACATTGAAATGAGCAAGGAACCCGTTAAATTACTATCTAAACCCAACAGGCATCAGTTAAACCAACCTGCCCGTCCGCATACAGCGTGTTAAGCATCGTGGTCGGAGACAAGAAGTCCCTGTTACGCAGGTTTTTAGCGCTGCTCTCCTTGAACCAAAGCTTCTCCGGTTCAGGGAAGATCCTGTCGCCGTTTAGCTGGCTGGAATCGGGGACATTTTCACGCTTCCCCCGCAGTGCGGAGCTCAGCGCCCGGACGGTAGGGGTGATCCGGAGGGGCGAAGACTCCTCGATATTCTCCATCACCACCACCACCAGCACACGGACAGGTGAGCTTGCTACCAGGCTATCGGCACATCCACACCCTGCTCATGTCTTCTTGTCAAACCCCGTCTCCCTGGTGTCTGTGATGCAGGCTAAAAGCTTGCACTGCCGAATTACATGCCAGTTTCCTGCTGCACGGTTAAACTCTGGTCGATGTCAGATATTTGCTGTAAAGGAGGACTGCATTGGCTGTTTTTCTCTTATGCGGAACCAGTGAAGTACAATCTGTTTCTTCCGAGGGGGTTTTCGGTGTAGGACCAGTGGAATTTGCCTAATAGCGCCATCCAGTTTGTGGTAGAGTAACTGCAATCTTAACCACACTGTCTGGCCAAAAGTATGTGGACACACACTTTTCTGTAATTTGTTTAACATTTTCTTCTAGTGCAAGCAGGTGTCTAATGGAAAATGTGCTTCTATTATTGCTCTTTAATTTAAGTCCTCATGATAAGCTGCATTGCTAAATATCTCCAGGCCACCTAAATATTATTTACTGACCTGCTTTCTATCATCTGCATTGACTGACTGCGTAGGATACTGTCTGTTGTTGGTGGTTTTAACATCCACACACAGTAAGGGGCACACTCTGGACTTGATCACCTCCAAGGCTCTTAACATTTCTAAGGTTGTGGGGTCTGGTGTTGCTCTTTTTGATCATCCCTGTGTTTGATGACTGCATATTATTGAAAACAGAGAAATGCAGTGAAGGAAAATTATTCCTAAAGTAAAAGCTTTTTGGGACATTTTCATACATACTGATTGGCAGGGGCATGGCTATTTCCATATAAATGCTGTATTACCAATAAGATTAAAGAAGTAGAAATTTAAATGTTAAACTATGTATCCAACAAATCTATATTTCTCCAAATTTACAAATGTTACTTTGGGGACTTGATTGAAAGATGTTGTTTAAAAGTATTAATAATATCTTAATTGAGTGTAAAATGTCATACATGTTGAACAAGATAGATATAAAACTGAATGCATTGTAAACATAGTGATTTATATATGTGACATTTTACATACATATATAACAAAAGTAACCCATAGTTTCACCGGATTTTTATGTAAATGTATAGAATATAATAGTAGTTTCAAACTTATGAATACAAAGAAGTAATAAAACTCACTGTATGGTGAACTAAAGAAGAATAAGGTGTGTTTTTATCTATTATAATTTTACATTATTGAAGTTTATTTATCCCAATTCTGTTTAGTTTTATTTATGTATTTAAATTCATGTATTTGTTCTCTGTATATACTATATTGTTAAGTAAATGTATGCAATGTTGTTTATATGAATGTTTTTTTCAATGACCATTAAAAAAAATAAATAAATAAAAAAGTGTTCTTCCGGCGCGGAGATGTGACGTAAAGGGCACAAATATATCGGGGGGGGTAATAAGTTGTGCACCACATAACTAACACTAACGCTTCTGCAAAATAAAAGATGCTCAACTGGGGGTCGGAGGCGATCCGTAACCAGACCACGGGCACCGTGAAGGACTCTGTCGTGTACAACCGAATGACCACACTGCTGGCGGAGAAGGGGGGGTACATGTCTCGGGTGCAGGCGATTGAGGTTGAGGCAGAGGACGAGGAGGAACGGTTACAACCCATTAACACCAGTAAGTATGCGTTTCTATCATTACTGTGTTAACGGGAGGTACCTGGATGACCTGCAGGGTCGTTTGTCCTCAGGTCCCAGAAAACACCAGTGGCGGAGTTGGATCCTTATACCCATTCTATGCCACCAAATGTATAGGTTTACTTGTTACGAGTATACTAGTTTACCATAATAGACATAATTATTACTAGATAGCAACATAAATAGTATTCAGCTTAATGCTTTGTACATTCCTCTTTGCATTTAAAACAGAAAGCAGATAAATGATTCCTTAAGAGATATATCCAACAATGGGACTTTTGAAACGTTTTGCTTTAACATCTGGCTATCTCATCCAGGGACCCTTTAAATCAGGGGTCTCGAACTCAAGGCCCGCGGGCCGAATCCGGCCCGCCACGTCATTTTATGTGGCTCGCGAATCCGCCAGCAAAAAAAATAAATAATAATAATTAAAAGATAGACTTGATAATAAAAATATCCCCGTAGTCGAAATTATGAGATAGAAAGTCTAAGATATGAGACATAAAGTCATAATTCTGAGATAGAAAGTCAAAATGATGAGATACTTACACACAGTCATACAAGCAGCTCTTTGGCTGGTTACTGTACACTTCAAATGAAATGTAGTGTGAGTACATTGAAGACTACTTTAAACGTGGCTTTACAACACATGAAATACTTCACGTGGGATTGTGCAAGCGCACCCTTGAAAAGATTTTAAGCTTTGAACAAAGTTATTGTAATAACTTGTTTGATATTTTCTTTAATAGTTTGATCTTTGATTGAGTAATGTGGGTTTCTTAACCCTAAATTAAAAGGATTTAAGTTGTAAGAACAGAAATGTGCTTAAATATATTTTTACATTATATAACTGCATGTACAATATTTTTACACGTGAATAAACAATAATCAAATGCAGAGACAGTTATTTACCAATATGTTAGGAGTAGTTACATTTACACAGTCTTACATTTACAACTGGCCCTTTGAGGGCGACCGTGATGCTGATGTGGCCCGGAGTCAAGATGAGTTTGAGACCCCTGCTTTAAATGTACTCTCAACCATTTTAACGCTGATACATGTAATGGGTCGGTTACTGAGCCTGGAGCCTATTGACCTGTAAAGATGCAAGATGTGATCTGTGGAGTGCTATGAACTTTCTGTATGTGCTATCACTACAATATGGCAAAAACAGACACAAAGAGTACACACCAAAGTATACAAAACCCAATACCAACCACAGAAAATGCTGGAAATAGGGCAGAAATTGCCGTGTCCTCCCGGTTGTCATGTTTCCATCACTGGCGATTTGGAGCTGGAGCCGATAAATAGCCGTGACTCATGCAGAGTCATTTCTCTCAGGAATGAAGGCAGATTGTAATTTCTCACTAAAGACAAAAGCCAGATGTTAGAGTGTTTTTTTTTTTTTTTTTTTTTTTTTTGTTTTTTTTTTGTCCAGTGGGAAAGCAGCTTTACATCTTCTCACATGAAGTCCGACAAACAGCCCACATATGAAAGGTCCCCTTTAATATGCAGCCACAGAATGAGGAAGTATTTGTCTCTATTCCTCCTCAGTCATGTGAAAAGTTATGATCTGTTGTGTTTTTTTTCATACATTCCCATGAGAGTCCTGGTGATGAAAGAACATTGATGGTTTTTAAAGAGGAGATTCAGCTGGGTTTTTCCTGACTTTGAGGCAAAGCTGCGACTGCTTCCATATTTTGGTAAACTAGTAAACGTATAACTTTTGGTGGCATATTAATGTTTAATGAATGCAAACACCTTTCAGCTGAAAGTCGGCTCTTTCACCTCATTGTCGTTTAATTTTAACTCCAGTGTTTTGAAGCACGGAGACGAATCTCAAAAAAAAGTGTCCCTAACTGGCTGCACCGTCTCTTTTTGTTTACTAGCGTACACGACTCCATCGAAGAAAACGACCGTGATGGAGCAAGTCTCTACGTTGGACGCGCAGGAGGACGCCCGGCTACAGAGGTTGATGGACCATGAGAAGGAAAGGCAGAACAATCTAATGAGTTAGCTGGTGGCCATGCATGAAAGGATCAGCCGAGAAAACCACGAGAGACACCTCGAACTCGTGGACAGCATACTGTGTAGGTTCCTTCAGGTCGCTGACTGACACTTCCTGCGTGAGTGACGATGGCGTACGACCGGGTTATTCAGGTGTAGGGAAAACCTCTGACACGCTCCTCCATCAGCTAACTTGTGCCTCTTCCACATTCCTTTATTTCCACTTTATTTATCAACAATGTACAGAAAAATGACTGAGATAATCTTGCTTTTAACCTCGACTCTGCTCACTTGTATCAAATACAAATCCAGGTTAAAAAAGACAGATTGTGCTCACACTACAGGCCTTCACGCTCCGTTCCGATTCACTGTTCATTTGTTATCCCTAAAACGACAACATTGTAAACTCACAGTGGTGCTGAAACTTGAACAACAAAACATATATTAAAAGGAACAATGAAGCTGCATCATAACAGTCGACTGTAGCAGCAGCATTCCATTTCTAAACATAATTTGCATAAGTTAATGTGATGTAGCCGTGCAATAAACAAAAAGCTATACAACATTTATAACTCTAAACTCCAAATGATGAAGTCCATTTAAATCGGCTAGTTAGACGATGAATAGTTGGATTTATATAGATGTATAATTGTGTAGAGCCTATCAAAACATCTGGATTAATTTAGACATATTGGGCCTCATGTTAAAAAACAGCTCTTACAAACGCATTTGTTCTGAAGTGACTGTTCAAGTGATGGAGAACTTGCCACATTCACTAATTTTCTGGAATTTTCCATTTTCTCTCAAGAACAAACGCCTAATAAAAGCAGCAACGAAATCGTATGTAAATTACACTTAATAATATTTCAAATATATTTCAAAATTGGCTATTGGTGCTGTTGTATAACACTGCAATATCTCAAGCTGAAAATATATTAAATAATGCACTAATTGAAATTCAATTTATCTCTACCTTTTTATTCTTCTGTGCCATTTTCATGAATGAACACTTATGGGGCAGGTAGGTAACCTTACATTGTATTTGGGCGTTAATTATGCAAATTAACAATTCTCCTGAACTCGTGCTCATTTACGCACAGGTGGCATTGGTCATGTTTAGGCCGGTCGTTTACACAGTTTGTTGAATCTGACGTGGCTCACTCGTACGAAAAAAAGTAAGAGTTGAGATAAGAATGCAAATGTTCTTGCATGAGACCCATAATTATTACTACATATACATTTTCTGACTCAAAATTTGCTTAAAAATCTCTGTGTGTGTGAATCAGAAGATCAGATCTGTGTCATGAGTTTGGAGAATTATCACCTGCAGTGCTCCCCAGAGGGAGAGGAATGTATAATGTATGTATTGTATATTCCTCTCCCTTTGTAGTGGAAGAGAAGCTGCTCTTCATTTGAATGGCAGTCTATTTGTAGCACAGGTCCTAAATAATGTGTGGTGATGATATTGTAAGAAAACTATACACAGTGACTGATAGTTTAACATTCTGAGATTTATCTTGAGAGTATCCATTTAGACATGCTATACAGAAAACCGACAATTACATGGTACAAACTGAGATCTGAAATGATTTACATTAGGCGCTCATGTCGCGGTTCGTGGTGTCATTCTTGGCTGACACGGAAATCCCGGTTGCGTTTACTGTTGCCGGCAATCCGGGAGAAAACGTGTCATTGAGGAAAAACACCTGCATCAGACAAATCCATTCAGTCATTACGCTCTAATTTATTCTGTTCAAAATGGCAACACGGCGTTCAACATAGGCCATACTACTGTTAGTTTCACTTTCCTAGGTTTTCATTTTGAAAGAAACAATACTCATCATTCCGGCTGAATCAGAATGGTTAAATGACAAACTACAGACTTTGGTTTGTTCAACTGTAGAGACTTCTCTACCGTTCCACGTGTTTTTAATTGTAGTGTTTGCGTCTTCCTTTTTAAGGATCAATAAAGTTTTCAAGTGAGATTAGTTTTGGCAATCTATTTTTAAACAGAGGCTGACTTAAGAAATGCATAGTAATCTGATATGATTAATGGTTTGTATGGAGAAGTGCTCAACCTCAGCTCGTCTGCTCAGGATGTCCTGTGCATTGTGGGATGGAAACGGACCTCATAACCAGCTGGAGCCAAGAATCACAGCTGCATTATGGGTTCCGTTACAATCCCACCCACCAAAACAAGCTTCAGGTCCAAACTCTGGTCAGGTTAATGCAGCTAAAAGGAAAGGAAAAGGTTAACAGTGAGGAAAAAGGTGACTTTACATTGAATGAATCTGACTTCAGTTCTTTTAGTTGCAGCTTTTTATATCTTTGTGTTGATGTACCGTCTTGATAAACCTGTTTATCATCCGTTGAGCAATGGAAAGAAAAAGAAAGCAAGAAGGGGCAGAAGAGGTGAGCCTGATAAGGAAGAACTGGTAGAACGATAGAAGGAAGGAGAGGGCTGAAAAAGAACAACTTGAAGACATTTCCATCATTGGACTCTTCTTGTGAAAAATAGCTTTTCGACCCTGATTGCATTAATTTCTCATGTCCTCAAAGGCTTGAAAAAAAAAAAAAACTAAAGAGAACTAATCCTTGAAGTAAAAAATAGAGGACCTAAAGACACTTTCAGTTTGTCCCCTATAGGCTACTTGAACCCTTTATAAGGGACACCTGAAGGCTCCTTCCAACAATAAGAGGAATGAAGGGACAACCACAGACAGTTTTACACGCAGTAAAACAAGATTGTATGAGAAGAATGCGAGGACAAAGTTTAAGAAGTCAAAGCAGGAGACAGAGAGAGGTCGAATGAGGATTTGGCACTTAAAGACAATAGAGTGAAGGCAAAGTGAAAGTACAAAAAGACACCAGTATAAAGTATTGTCATGATTATAAAGTTTGAAGAATAGTGTCTAAAAGTTTTCCGGCTCACCGACATCTCGGAGCAGCTCGTCGTTCTCTGTCGTCCCGTCTGCCAACATCTCTGACAGTTCAAACTTCCTCTTTAAATACTGGAGATTCATTTCACTTTCACTTCTCCTCATCAGACAAAACTCCTCCTTTCCTCTCTTTGTCAACTCCCTGCTGGAGAGACACACCTACTGCTATCTATTACTCTGTTAACAGAAATGCTCGTTTTTGTAAGGTGGATTACTTCTTTACATGAAAACTGAGTGCTTGAAATTGTCTTTTCTTGCCTTGAAGTGCTTTCAGGTTATCAAACCTGTATTGATTAGGTATAATTCAAATTTCATATATTATGAGTATCCAGACATTTATATATTTTTGGACACAAATGAAGTATAATGTGTTCATTCAGCAAACTGATTGCCGCTTGTCTTTATGGGTTTGTGTTGTGACTAAATGCATTTATTTTAGAAGGTGTATTTACTGTATGTGAACCGTGACTGACTGATTTAATGGTTTATTCTGATCTTTTACCTTCTTGCCAGTTCTTACATGTTTGCCCTCGTTAAAGTGACAAAGAGCTGTGAAGCACCAAAAACAAAATTTCAGAGACATTATTCAAAAACCTTTCCTGTTGTTCCTCGCTGCTTAGCTGGCCCTTTAGTCCTCGGTACAATTCATTTTTGTATATGTGCTTTTGTTCATTCGTGTTTAACCCAAGTTTTTCTGAATGTAAAATGTCTCCAGAAAACCCTTGGGAATTTCTAATAGTATTCATGTCATTTTGGTCCAATTCCGCCTTTAGTGTTTTTTTGTCTGTGATGTTACTTTATTAGCTAGGACTGCCTTGAAAACTACACATATCTATTAAGTCAGCCTTGCGATATGTGGTTGATATGGTAGTTAAAGTTATTGTCAGTAGAGGAAGAAGTACTCTGATAAAAATAGCAAAGCAGCAAAACCAGAAGGTAAAAAAACTCTGCTTCAAGTAAACATCCTGCATTCAAAAAGCCAATTTAAGAAAAAGTACAAAAGTATTTGCATGAAAATATACTTTAAGTGTTATGATTACCCCTGAGTCACATGGCCCAATGTAAGCACCTTGTTTTTCTGCTTTGACATACTTGAATGTAAAAGTACATTAAATATAGTACATTTAAATAAATGACTTTGTTCTAGTATAGCAGCCCATTGACAAACATACTATTTTGACTGAAATAACATGTTTTATGTGTTCAAACAATGGATTAATAAACCCAAGAGGTCAATTGTAACACTCTCTTGCATTACATTTAGCATTATAGTCCTGAAGGTAAAAGTAAAAAAAAATGTAACAATTGCCCACAGTCTCCCCTACTTAAGTAAACGTACTTAGTAACTTTCCACCACTGGTAATTCTAATAGATTAGTACTGTTCATAGTAGTGACAGCAAATGTTTCCAGTCAGCTTTAATTTGGTGATTTGCATGTCAAAAGTAATCTAGTATTTAGGTATAAAATGGGCTAAATTTGGTTGAAAGGTGAGGTTGTTTTTATTTTTTAGACATGCTGCATACTGTAAGCCACCATGGCTTCAACAGCATTTCAATAACTCAAGTCAGTGGCTTTTCAGCAACTTCTTAACAAAAGCTAGTTTTATAAATGTCATTGAAAGTTATATACAACCTAGACATTTGAAAAAAACAAACCAAATCTTTATTTCAATGGTAGTATTGTAATCATTGTTTTGTTTCCCATGCAAAACACTGATCTTAAACTGCTGCTAATTGAGGCCTGTAAACTGACTCTTTCCATGTGCGTCAATTAGCATGTGACATGATGGACGATGTGAGACAGGTGTGACCAGCGGAGTGTGACCGGAGGACTCCCACCGGTCCGTCTGGGTTTCACCCTGGAAAGTCCGGTGGATTTGGCGGAGTACCTGATCCACCCTGGAGCCCTCCAGCATGAAGATGGAATGTGAGGTAGAGGGAAGGTGGCTGCTTGTTCGTTGATGGAGGAAACGTGGGCATCACGATCACGTTTTGAACTTAGTTCAGTTATTCTATGTTAGTATATTATCTGATTGGATGCATGCAGTGCTTGAAGTGGGCTGGTAGTGCCCGGAAGGCTACGCAGTACCGGCACTTCTCTTGGTATCAGGTTCTCTGGGCAAACCCTGCTGTCATATGGTACAGCTGCACCTGAAGCAGTATGAACATAAAAACAAAAAAATATGTGGAGGGCCACTACACTGTGACATTTGTATGACGTTTTATGATTTCCTATACTAAGACATGTTGGACTTTTTTTTTTAATATACTGCTTTTTAACATAACATTGTTGGGACTTTTATTGATGGCTTAGCCTACTATACCATGACTTTTTGAAGTCCTTTTTTTCATGGCATACTATATTGTGACATTTTTAATGAAATTTTTAATGCAACTATACTGTGACATTTGCATGCATGACTTTATTTAACATTTTTTATTCCGTAATATACCATGAATTTAACAGCATACAATTAATATGACATTTTAATTACTTTTTTCTAAATACTATACATTGACTTTTTAATTACTTAAAAAAATACATTATACTTTTTGTCTTTTATGACGAATTACTTTTTAATCTAATATACTGTGACGGTTTGTTTTTAATGTACTGTACTATGAATGTATTAGTTTTTTTTTACGTATGATACAATGATTTTTTTTTTACATACTATACTATGAATTTTTTACTTTTAACATATTCTATGATTTTTTTTTTTTAATATACTGTGACTTCAAATGTTTTTTCGACATACTATACTAATGCCTTTTTATTACATTTCTTTGGCTTGCTATATTATGCCTTTTTGATTTTTTTAAATACATTTTCACATATACGATGGCTTTTTACACATACTACAACTTGCCTTATGTTTTAATGGTTTTATGTGAAGCACTTTGAATTGCCTTGTTGAAATGTGCTATACAAATAAACTTGCCTAGCCTTACTATAATATGGCTATTTTTTGGACATAGCCTACTATATTATTTATATAAAATATATTATTATTATTTTATCGGATTATTATTATTATTATTATTATTAGGGCCCAAGCACCGAAAACGTCGGGCCGAAGTCCCATATTAAAATTCGTCTTATTATTATTTTTGTACATTGGGCGCGTTTTTAGGGTGTTTGCCATGCTCCAACACTTTCGTAGACACTTACATTCGTAACGTGTAAGTCACGAGACATTATGTCTTGTCAGCATGATTTACTTTGAATCAAAACAGGAGAACCCGGAGACGGAGACGGAGAGAAACTCTCATTAGCTGACATTATATTGAACTTTCTTTATCTACTGTTATCTTTGTAAGTGTTGGCTGAGATAATCTGTACAGTAAGCGACATCCCGGTGCTTACTGTTAAAAGCCAATATCGGTCAGGTCAGCAAGTGTTTCTGCAAGCTAACTAGGCTAGCTAGCTAATTGTGAGTTTGCTTTCTTTTAGACTGCGAGGAATGGGCTTCACCTCGCCATGTCGGGGCTTTATGTCAACATTGTCATGCCCCATTGCTGTTGCTCTGGGTAAGTATGTTGCTGCTTGGACAGCATTAACTAACGTTAACTAAATGAACGCTGTTAGATCTGTCTCTGTATTGGATGAACGTATTTATACTATGTCATTGTTAAGAGGCTGACGTAAGAACTAACGTTAGTTAACGTTACAAATAAATCTTAGTTAAAATCTATTTAAAACCCACATTATACTTTGTTGGTGAGCTAATATTAACATCGTACTTATAAGTCAAAGCTGGTAAATTCATTAAATTAGCTAGCCTTTATAGATGTTATGAATCTTAACTGACGTCAGTTAAGATTCATAACTGATAATTGTGGTAATTGACGTCCCAGGCCTGATTTAAAACATGACAACATCCTGTTCCGCTTAAACTAACGACCTCAAACAACTCTCGGTTGACACCAGCTGACATTTTACGGTTTGGTAACGGAATTAAACGTCCCATAGTTTATAGAAAGTCTTCGGCCTATCTGTGGTAATGTTGTGCTTGTATAAATCTAGTTGGAGGGTGCATCGACCTAACGTTAGATACTGAGTCTACTCACACCAAATCAAACAGGCCTATCATTTGAAGTATCTGCAACCATGACAACAAAAATAACCCAATGATGAATTACAGTTTATTGTAGTTTTATCGTATTTACTTTGACATTTTGTGTAGTTTTGTCATCAGTTATTTTTGGAAATAATGCGTTAATTGTGCAAATATACGGTTCGTTTAACTTGGTGTGTTTTGCTTCTGATACATTTCTGTTCTCAGTGATTTGAAACCCTTCTTCTGTGTTGACGTTCATATATTTCTATGTAACCGTCTCCCAGGTTTTGTTTTGGGCCTGGTTCTGAGGACCAGCGTCGTTATGACAGACCTGGACAAAGAGTACATCAACTTCCCTGGAGAGATGTTAATGCAGATGTTGCAACTGATCGCCATTCCTCTCTTCATGTCAGGTCTGGTGAAGGGTAAGGCACAGGTGTATTTCCCACTCTGTCAACTGCTACGTTGGCTTATACATGTTACACACAGAGGAATTCATAACAATATATATGATAATAATTGACATTATTTACATAATGACATTTCTCACAATTAACTTTCCATGACATTAATGTACCACTCAGAGATTATTTTACTGATGCTCTAACTTCAGTCTTAAGACCTCAGCTCATGTTTTTATTTTATTTTTACAGAAATTTGTCATCCGAGTGTTGGCCTCTCCAGACAGATCACCATGCGCTCAACAGTGTACTTTGTTGTAACCACTTTACTGGCTGTTGCTATAGGTAAGAGAACTACAAAACATGCAATGTACTCTCAGTTGCCAGTTTATTAGGTACACGGTCTAATACAGTCCTGCAGTCGATCCTACCTTCATGTAGGTTATTATGTTCAGTTTTTATTTGATCTATTTTAGAGAGGTGCCGATTCAATAATTATTTCGTATTAAGTAGATTGCATTGCTGGGTGGACAAAATAATAGAAATACATTCATAACTTGATGGAAGTACGGTCTATTGCAGGAATGCGGTATTAGACTGCCTTCATTTAGTGTACCTAATAAAGTGATTGTAGTTTATTTTCACTGTTTTTATATACAGTTAATTATACAAACACAATTAGTTAACAGGTATGACCCAAAGCGTCTTTTTATGCTGCAAGTCAGAATCATACGGTTTAGATTTTCTACATCAAAACTACAGTACACCCTTGTGATATCTGAGCATTGACAGGATTTATTTTTCAACATTTTTTTTGTTTCATTTAAGATAAAATCCAGCTTTTTATTCTTCAGTCATGGTGTGATAAAATGCTAGAAGTCAGGTATTTTTGCAGTAAGGCTGTAAAGTATTTCAACATTTCTGGAGTTGTACTATTGAAACAACAGTTTAAAGTGATTACTAGTTTAGCTGTTGTAGTGTCATTCCCTAGTCAGCCCAGTATGATATTTGAATCTAGCGATTGTATAGTGTTGTATTCAGTCCCTATGGAAGAGTTATAGAATACACTGTTTTGCTTCCTGAGTTCAACTGGATTATGTGTTGTAGGGTTACTATTGGTAGTGTGGGTCCAGCCTGGGGTCGGTCACAATGCTGGTAAAACCGATGATGATTACGTTGAGGATGAATTCTTCTCCTCATTCGATGAGTTTGTGGATCTAATGTGGTGAGAAGAAAGTGTTTCTTTGCCCTTCTTTTCAGATTCATCAACAGTTACAAGCTGACTAATATCTGTATTCATCAGTTTCATGACGTTAGATGTGAGTTTTTTTTTGTTTTTCTTTTCTCTCTTTATAGGAACATGCTGCCACTCGATGTGATCCAGACCGTCTGTCAACAGGTGTGATTTTTAGCTCAGATATGGGATATTTGGTCCATGAGGAAGACAATGTTGTATCCAAGGCGTGATTTCTTTTCTCGTCTTTAGTACCAGATTAAGAATGTGAAGGTTGAAATTAAAGAATTCGATGAGGATACCGTGGAAACGGTAAACACTTTTCACTCTGAAAATTCTTCTTTTGAAGTTTTCATTCACAGCTTTAATTATTGATACATGAAATTGCTGTCAGACTGTTCTCACTGAGTTTCTTATTTTGTTTTAGACTACAACAGAAATGCGTTGGGAGGCTGAATATATTTACGGGGTCAATGCTTTGGGCCTTCTTGTCTGGACTCCTGTTTTGGCATTGGCCCTCAGGAAATTGGGAAGAGATGAGAAAGTACTTGTGAACATCCTTCTGTCCGTAAACAAGGTCGTCAAACTTGTGATCAAAGCCATCGTAGGGTGAGGTAACACAGCACTCATGTTCTGGAAGAAAACCTCTGAAGTGGAAATAACATTTAAATATGGAAATAATATCATAATCCTGAACTTTGTGTGTAGTACTTTTCTTAACAAAGAAAACAAAGAGCTTCACAACAATAAAACAATAGATGAATAAATAAAATACCAAAAACAATAATAATAAAATACTATATAGGTGAATAAATGGAAGTTTAACATTTTTTATGGTATGGCTGGTTTGAAAATAAAATGTCCTCATTTAGGGATTAATAAAGATACTTCTTTATTAATCCCTTCTTCCCATTAACAAGTCACTGAAGTATTCCTGACATCTTTTATTCTGTTGTTACCTTTCCAGCTACTTGCCAATCGCAGTGTTGTTCATGACTGCAAGCTATGTTGTTGATGTTGTGTACGACGAGGCTCTCGTCCAAATCGGAAAGCTCATGGGAGTGTATTTTCTTGGGTATGTTCTCTTTTGCACTTTTAGCACTTTGTTCCAGTCGCATTGTGTATGCAAACCGTGTTTATTGTTGTCAGTTATTTTGTCCGGTATGGTAAGTCTTCACTGAGTTATGTCTGCTCTTTTTCAGGCTTGTCATCCATGGAGCAGTAGTCCTGCCACTGATCTATCTCCTGTGTGTGAGGCGCAACCCCTTACCGGTCATTCAGAAGGGGCTTCCTGCCATGATGAAGGCCATGCTCATCCCGCGCAGGTAAGACTATTTTATCTTTGTGTGAGTCTTTAACAATATAGTATCACAGAGAGGATTTAGATTGATAGATAATAGACATTTAGGAACTAACAAGAGGTGCACTGTGTCCAAGCTTTGCGGTCACGACGACTGAGACAGTAAACATGTTTGACAGTAGAATCACTCGCTTCATGCTGCCGATGGGGAACAAAGTCAACATGAACGGAACAGTTCTTTATGAAGTGGTGGTGGCAGTTTTCATCGCCCAACTCAACCACATGGATCTGCACTGGACCAACCTAGTCCTGCTTTGGTAAGTCACAATCGTATATTATTTTCTCACTCCCTTTCTTCTGTTTCTTGTTATGAAGAGCTGGGTTGAAATTCTATGCATGTTGAACACTGAAAGTAGTAATGTTAGACTGATGCGTGTTATATTTACTGTATTTGAGAGAGGCCCAATCATTCAAGTACATAGTTCCGTACATATTGTAAAGAAAGGGAAATGACCATTGAAGTAGTATAGTATACAATATCAGATCTGTAAGAGCTGGTAAATAAAATGAAATAAAAAATCCTATTATATGATCTTGAACAGTCCACTCTGGTGTTTTCTCAGTAGTGTGACAGTAGCAGTGTCCAGCCTCGGAGAAGACGGGATCCCAGCCACAGGAACAGCCACCACTCTCTTCATTTTGACACTCACTGAGATTCCTGTGAAGGGCGTTTGCCTTTTGTTGGCTGTAGAATGGCTGCTGTAAGTGCAACCTGTGTTTTGGCAGGGATTACTACACCTGACATCAAAAAGCACAGTGCATATCCCACTTATCCCCTCGTCTGCGGTGTGTGTCTTTCAGAGATCGCTGCAATGCTGCTGTCAACGTCCTGGGAGACTGCATCGGTTTGTCGCTTGTTGACCATTTGTCAGGAAATAAACTGGATGAAAGAACGGGGAATGAGAAGGTGAATTTTAGTAGGTCATTGCATGGACCCATGAACAAGGTACATTGTTTCTACCAGCAGGTTTTCAGGGTGCACTGTAACACATTTCCCTGTAAAATTACAGTAAACTACTGGCAGCTCCAGCTTCCAGCGTTCAACTGTTATACTACAGTGTAGCTACTGTAATCTCCATGAACAGTTTAATACTGTAAAATGTATTAAAGTACTGTAGAATGTGTTTACAGTATAGCACTGCTAGAAGCTAATGATTTCTAAATTAAAACCCCTGAAAATTGCTAACATAGAAACGACTCAGACAAGAGACTTTATTAATATACAATATTAAGCTCTTATTAAAGCCAATGCAGTATCAAAAACATTAAGTAACAATTTTAAAGTGTTTGCATTTAGACATAATACAATTAATACAATCACCATTCCTTGTGTTGAACAGGTTCTTAGTCCATGTACTCTGAATTTAGTTTCCATTTTCTGATAACATTTCCTATCTGTCTATAATGCATTAATCTGCCCTGTATGGTCATGGTTATAAGCACTCATAAATATTCACAATGCTTTATAACAATATTCACAACACATTAAGCTATTTCTAATGACTTAAGGTCAAGTATCACAATATAAATAATTGTTTTCTTTTATTAAAGTGAATAAATATCATTAAATCTATGTAGGCACACAAAACTATTCCTCCTATATATGAAGCAAACAATGGCCACTTAGTTACGTTCTAACCACATTATAATAAATTATAACAGTGATTATAGAGGCATTATAAAAAGATTATAATGTATGTATAAAATGCTTTATAATGTAATTTGATTGTTGTAAAGCATTGTGAATATTTATGAGTGGTAACAATAATTATCCAGTGCTATAGGATTGTGTTTTTAATGCATTATAAACATGCGCTTCATAGAAAGTGTTTCCCCCTTTTATCTTGAAATATGATAAGAGATGGCCCTACAAAATTACATTAAAAAAAGACATTAAAAAGCCACTGCATCAAACACATTCCATCACTAACTCATTTCAAATTATGACTTTCTATTAAAATACAATCGGAACAATGTTCTCAACCGTCTGTATAAAACTTACAGACCTTACTTCATGTATCGTGCCTACAAGATCCATTTTACATTAGTTTTTGAAATCTGGAACTGCACAATTGAGACAACTAGATGGAACTGAACACAGTTCTGAGACTTGTTACCTTAAAATGTCAACAGAAGCATCTGGTTGCAGCGCGGGCTGCTCCTCTTCCTTCCCCCTACGTGAGCTCCTGTGAGGTGATGTGGGCTTCTTAACGCCCCAATCAAAGTCCAGGAGTTCTTTATGAAGGTGACAACATGGGGATTCACAGCCACAGCTGCCCTGTCTTCTCCCCTCTCAGGGTTGAGACCAATGAAGCGCCTAAAAAATGTAATAACAGAATGTAAGATATTAGATGTGATAAGTTAAGATTGTTTGTGCTTAATACAGAATCCGGTTGGATTCAACAAATAATAAATTGTAAGTTGTTATCTCAATGACCTCTGTGTCTTCTAATTATGAGAGAATAATCGTATTTAGAGAAACAATTTCATCCTTTTGAGAAAAGAAACAGACTTGCTTATGTGACACTTATGTGTCATGGATGGGCTGGGAGGGTCACGGTGCGCCCAACGTCCACTGCAGTGACAGACATCTGTAGAACATAAACGGTATCAAAACTACAAAGGAAATTGTGTGTATAGTGATAGTAGACATTAAAAATCAGTCCCTTAGTTCCTTAATCAAAGTGGTGTTTTACTTGATATAACACTAGCCCCACCATAAGTGGTAAAGTAAAGCCTAAGCACTTAACCTGCAAAGATTTTACACATCAATATGGGATCCCATTGGACCTTTAATTTAACATGAATTAAATGTAAATTAAGTTAACACAGCAAATTACATAGTCTAAGTTAACAGCCTTTATCTGGCAATAGAAATTCATCACAAAATGACACAACTGGGTTATAAAGTTAGAACGCTAGCTTTGATAACATCCAAATTACCTTGTTAAGTTAACCACAGGAGCAAGATGGACTACGGAGTCCGCCACCGAAATTTCTGGATATATTATACAGTGGCTCTTTCATGACTTTTGCCAACATACTATACTATGGCTATTTTAATACTTTTTTGAGATACTGCATTACTTTTTTCCACATGCTATACTATGACAATGACACATTTTACTATTACTTTTTTATGACTTCTCAACTAACTACACTATGACTTATATGGCTTATTTCGACATTATATACTATGGATTTTTAATGATTTGTTTTGACATACATTACCATGGCTTTTGTTAGACATGGTATATTTATCCTTTTGACAGTTTTTTTCAGACCTTTTTCATCAACATAATACCATTTTTTTACATTACTTTATAACATTTTGGATATACTATATTATGACTTAGACCAAAATGACCAATTTGTCGATGAAAGTACATTTTGTCACATTGTCTCAAAGTACTAGATATTCACAAATAGAAGCAGAGGTGACAAATACGAAGACAGCAGCTTGTGGAAAAACATACGTTTTATTGGACAACTTTTTTTTTCCCGCCTTAACATGGACACTCCAGACATCTACTTTAATCACAACTTGAAAGGCATTGAGGGACTCAATCACACGTGCGCTGATTGATAAATGCTTCATCCCCATTCTTCATACACACACAGCTACATAAAACACAGACAATGCATAGATGACACTGGCAGGAAGACTTGGTGGATCCTTGGAAGAGTAGAGAGGGGGCAAGAGCTCATCTTTAAAGACTAAATTGTATGAAAAGTTAAGTGAGTGTGGCTGTGAATGAAAGAGGGTCTGGCATGAAGTGTTTGCATAATGTGTTTGTTGGAAGGATTCTGTGTCTGGCGTCTTCTCAAAACAGCCGTTTCTCATAACTGTGGGGAGAAAGAGGAAGATGTTGAAATATGAAACCAAATTACAACAAAGTTGAACTCTACTTAGGTGAGTAGTTTGTGTACCTGTGCAGGCTGTGGACTCCACCCTCCGTTTGAGCCGAAGTTGTTCTCTTTTCAAATTTTAGATCTCCAGAGTACATCATGGCTCTGCAAAGAGGAAAGAAATGCTGTTACCCACATCAGACTGCAAGGGAGAGAATATAGTGCGGCATAGGCGCTGGGCAAGTATGTCTAAAGTGTCCCAAATCCATACTAATCCTATTCAGAATGCATTTCATAATTGTCATCATAGATAAAGCCTCAGCAGTTGTGGCCTGCTATACTATTACCACTACATCATGGCTTATTTATGACTCTAGCATTCTATACTATTTAGATTTACACTATTCTTTATGTATTTTTTCACCGTACTAATACTTCTGTGACTTTTGACATGTACTACGGCTTTTTCCAGATACTATACTACACCTTTTACTTTCTTCGACAAACTATTGTTAAACATATTACACTATGACTTGTTTTGCTTCTTTGACACACTATGCGACCATTTATAACATTTTAAGGGCATAGGAATAGCTCTATACTTAACGTCAAGTATACTCTATTCAGCAAACCAGATATTTAAAGCACCCTGTGGCCACTTAAGTCTATATTTACGATACCTATAATGTTCAGTTGTTTGATACTTTCATAGAGGTATTATGTGTTTTCTTTGCAGGTGAATAAATGTGACAACTCCTCAAAACTCGTGAGACCCGAGTTTGCTAGTCAGCCAGCTGTTGATTTAAGTGAAGGGCGGTTAGCCCCGAAGTTAGCGACAGCTTGGGCCACTTAAGGTGGACCAGCCCCTCCTACGTTTTACTGAGCACGGTTAATAATATCCCTACTGCAAACCATGTTGAAATCTGAGCAACAGCATAATGGAGTTTATTTAATGTGTTTCATTCTCAGAAAGAGAGGAACACTTGATTAAAATAAAAGATATTTAAGTCATTGTTAGAACCGTAGTGGTATTACTAAGTACTCTGTATGGAAAAGTGCTTGGTCTGATAAAAGTGGTGTCAGTGCATCTTGTAATGGTAGAATTTATGGCCGTTGACAGCACAGGTGTACTTTGTACCTTGTATTTCATTATCCTGAATGTGTCTTTACCTGAGCTGTGTGAGGCTCTTGGCTCCGATGTCCTGACAGGAGTGCTGGATGCCAGCCAGCAGGTAGGGAACAAACTTGTGGATGGAGCCTTTGTCCTGCACCGCTCCAGAAACACCCTGAGCAACTTTAATCTTATCACACTCACTGTGAGGGAAGAGGAGGAAAACAATGTGTGAGCGACATGATGGGGTCAGTGACATTTAAAGCATGATCGTGTACAACCTTTTTTGAGAATGTTGTGATGTTTACTTTATTTTTTTTATTTTTTATTTTTTAAGATTTAATTTAAGCATCATTGGGTTAAATTAAATGTCTGACTCAGTCCTTTTTTAGTGGGCTCATCATTCTTTACCACAAGGTATGTGGTAATGTCTAATGTTCTGAAAACCACAGAACATTGTGGGAAGAACTGTTAAAGAATGGTCTCTAGTGGCATGTTCGTGAGACTGCGTTGAAGGGAACAGTGCACTTTCATGTTATTCTCTTTTGGGGTAAGAGTTGGACCATTGCTTTGTTGTAATTTAACCTGCAGATATACAGTCACTACTATGGTGCCATCGACTTGAATGATACATTCCGTTAGGCCAGTTTTAGTTTTGTACCTGAAGTATCTGGTCTGGGAGCCCAGGTTTTTATCCATGGCATCCAGGGAGCCCATGCCGCGGTATTTCTTTAGCCTGATGCCGTCAGAGAAGAAATATTCACCAGGAGCTTCACTGGTAGCAGCCAGCAAAGAGCCCATCATCACTGGACACACGGGGGGAGAGAGAGAGAGGGAGAGATTGAAAACGAAAGATGATGACTGAAAGGAAAAAAGGCTAGGTGCTTTTTTTCCCAGCATGAATCTGGATTCACACGGAGTAAACGAATTAATCCAAATCTGAAAATCTACCGTCCGAATTATAATCCTCTCTGTAACATGAATTTGAAAGAAAGAAATAAAATGGTTTTATTTTGTGCTTATCTCACCCATCATCTAAATATCTGAATTATAAACCCTTGCACTCTGAAACACCCATCTATCCATACCTGTGGATGCTCCCAGTGCCAAAGCTTTGGCAATGTGCCCAACCGTCTGGATGCCGCCATCAGCGATGACCGGCACACCGAAACGCCTGGCGTACTCCGACACCTTATAGACAGCTGTGGCCTGGGGTCTGCCGCACGCCAGCACTGAAGAGGGAAAGAAGAGATGAAATGGGATTAAATGATGTGAGGAAAAAGTGTACCGCTGTTGAATTAAATCATTTTAAACATGTTGCTCGTCTCCTGATGACTGTAAGCTAGTCCTGTACTACATATCGACCCCCCCCTCCCCAACCTACTACAGAATACACAACCGAAGCTCACAAAAGGCTAACACACCTCACCAGACAAAGCTTTACAGATTCATGTTGGAAATTGGAATAAAATGCAGACATTTTCCATCTTTACCAGCAAACTATCCTTCCATATCAGCACAAGTTTACAAAAACACTGCTTCAACATAAATATAAAGAGGTTTGGAACCAGGAGCTGTCCGACTGAGTTAAAGAGAGTTCAACTAAACTTTGATCAGCATGGTGGAAACTTTCGGTGATCCAAGTGATGTTAAAAAAACACAAATAAAGAGTCTCACACACAGTGAAGGAGCAGACTGGGTGGGAACGGATCTCTTTCTGTTGTCATGCTAGTTAAAGAAAAGTGAGAATGGGGAAGTTATACTTGTCACATCAGCAGATAAATCCCACACCGCATGGAGACTCCAAACCCGCCTCTCATAATATATCCTGCCGCTATGAGGGACACAGACGATCACATTGACAACGAGCCGCCAAAGATGAACATCCCAATTCCTGTTTTGCCAGTAGAGTGGTTTTCTTTCCTGTGAACTCAGGGCTGCACGGTACTTACCAACCAAACTGGTAGTCCTAATTATCCTGCTGTGTATTGATGGCCATGTTAGAGAGGAAATGTTGCAAATGGCAACAGGTTACAAGTTATCTGTATCTTTAAAGCTAGAATAACAAACAGGTACCAGTGGTCTGGGACCTGTAGTATGTAATACCTGTAGTATTAAACAGCACAAGCAAACACTCCTTTAGCAGCAACTTAGAAACAACTTAAAGTAACTAAGCAACCTCACGCTGTAGGTAACCCAGGGTGGGAATGGCTCTGCTATTAACAATGATGTCTTATATTGAGAGAGGTGTTACACAATGTAAACACTTTTAATGAGTATTTTTTTATTGTTCTGTAAAGCATGTGATCAGAGCAAAAATAAAAGACACACGAGGAAAGAATAGAAACACCTCATCCTTGCTCAAACCACACAGAGCAGGTGAGCCTCTCATAAATAAAATATGAGGAAAGTAACACACTTCAAAGGTGATAATGAGGCGCTGATCACTAGAAGTAGACTTAAGAGAAGGACAACAAGTGTCACACACTCTGGCTCCATGTGCATTACTCTAAGGCCTTCCTAAAGCTCAACATTCAAAATGTCCTCTCACACAACCATGCTACAGTTCAAAAGTGTGCAACTATCAGCTGGCAGCACTTGCAGACTCTGAATATACTATGTTGACATTAGAATATGACACAAACGGCTGAATGGAGATACATTTATCAAGACCGCCTTGTCCTTGATGATGATTAATAATGAAGCGAAGGTGCAGTCTGAGACACAACCCGCCCGGCCCCGCCCACTTCAGCACGTTCACACCTCTGCTGGACAGGGACACCCTGTGGCTGCCAACAGGCATTACTGAGCCAAACCTTCAAATGCCAAATGTTAGGAATGGATGTTAGAAATGGATGAGTGCTGTGGCCTACAACTGATCCAGTCACCATCTGACCAATGGTATCCATAGGCAGCCGAAGGACACCAATGGAAAGGTCAGTAAAGTGGGTGGAGGAAGAGCAACATTCACTCATGATGATTGACGGATTAGTGAGGACGCAGGAACAAGCAAAACCCCAAAACCTCAAAACACCCACGGTCAGCTCTCAATACGAAACAAAACAACAACCTATGACCACTACCTCTAGTACTTCTACCGATGCAAAGCTGTTAACCAATCAATGCAGCAGGCTGTGAAGTGGGGAGGGCGGGCACACTGCGATAGTGGAGCCAATGGGGGACGGGTAAACTTACTGCAGTATCCCGTAACAGTGGTTGGGGTTTTGGGGCTGTGGAGATATATTGCTGGTGGTACACTGAGGGGAGCTGGGCATGGACAAGTACACGCACAAACACACACACACACACACAAGGGTGGGACGTCAGATAGAGAATTAAAGAGGGAATAAACAGAGAGAGAAGATGAGAAAGAGGGGGAGGTGGCAGGTTGGAGGACAAGAAAATGACAGACAAAAGCGAAGAAAACTGTAAGTAAAAGAAAATTAACAAATATTGCGAATGACTTGAGAGGAAAGATGAAGGCAGACAAGAAATACAGACTTACAATATCTACTGTAAACTTCTTGGCTATGCCCGACAAAGCACAGCTAAAAGCATCCCAGTAACAACTTAGATTTGGATCCATACTTAGCTGTAACAGCCCTATCTGCACAATTTAACCATCCGCAGTTCATCTTTGCAGGTGGTCACAACGACAGATGAGGCGATCATAGCACCTGATGTGACTTGGTTGAGAGAAATGACTTGACTTGTAAAGATAATGTGACAGGACGCGCCAGAGACAGACTCAGAAATGCCAACACACAGTGCACCTGAAGCACATTTGGTGGACTTTTCGAATGAAGACAACACAATTCCAACACGCCCGTCTTCCCACGTGAGGAATCTTGGACGAGCAATCTGTTGTCTTCCGCTAAGACACGTAAACTATAAAAATTGTTAAACCAAATGATCATTTTCGCGCCAGTTATCAAGCTGATGTCATGTCGTTAACAAGCAAACCGGACACTTGGCATCCCGCTTATTTCTGACAAACCAAAGTCAAATCAACAAGATGACAAAATGCACATCATTTCACGAAGATTGTCCTTTCTTGATTGCCACTTTAAATAACCACATTGACGCAGTTAACGAGGCCAATGGTGTTTGTTCAGTGTCACTTACCTTCCTGTGTTATGCAGATGGAGCCGCTGCCCATCCCCACCCTCAGCCCGTCAACTCCTGCGTCTATCAGGTTCTTAGCCTGAGCGGCAGTCACCACTGCAGCAGGGAGGGGGGAGACAGAAAGGCTGTTAGAGCTGGACTAGGGTTCAATACCAATTCTTAAAATCCAGAGATCGATCTTTTACTATATGCTGTGAATGCGTGAAGCTTTAAACAGACTAGAGAACCTTAATTGAATCAAAACCTGCCAGGAGCTGCTTCACTGAAAGAAACGCCAGGTATTCATTTTTAAAATATCCCTGCTCCATTCCATACTGAATCAAATCGGAAATCGAACCCTTGTGAATCGGAATCAATTCGGAAAATCAGCGTCGATACCAATGACAGATATGTGCACCTCTAACTGTAAGCAATGTGATCACTTAAGACGGGTAGCTGGGATCAATGGAAATACCTTCTCTGGTTATAAAGGTAAAGAAATGCGTAGTTACCATTGCCTCCAATGACCTGTACATTGGGATACTTTTCTTTGATGTATTTGATCATGTTGATCTGGAAGATTGAGTTGCCTTGAGATGAGTCCTGGAGACACAGAAGAAGCACATGGCATTGTTATTTACAGAGCATCATCACGTTGAATCACAGCTTGGAGACTTAATTCTCCCCGTTTCTCATGGGAAACCACCTCCGTACCAGAACAACCACGTCCACCCCGCTCTGCACAAGCAGGTCCAGGCGATACTTGTCGTCGTTGTGGGTGCCGATGGCGGCGCCACACAGCAGCTGTTTGCGCGAGTCTTTGGCGGCCAGAGGGAAGTCTCTGTTCTTCTTCAAGTCTGTGCGGGCAATGATGGACACTAGGGAGCCCTCCTCATTCACTATGGGCAGCTTACCTGCAGGACGAAGTAGAGAGGTCAAACACGTACAGACGCTCAACACCTGGATGCACGATCATTCCTTTTATGTTTCAACTGAAATGTTAAGTAAGAATGATGAGAGTCATGACTGATAACTGGAACAGCCTCCTCACCTTTCTTACTCCTCTGGAGGATTTCGTTGGCTTCTTTCAGTGTCACTCCAGCAGGAGCAACCACTAGATCCTCGAGTGTCGTCATCACCTGTCAAAGACATTTACACACACGGAGTATAAAGAAAGGAAGCGTCCACACCCGATGCAGAGGTTTCAGAGAATGTAGGAACTTTCAGTATTTCTGGGGGTTTTAGTACTTTAAAGATATGACGCTTTAACACTGAAAAACAGGTCATCTATATATAATATATCTATATATAATATATCTCTAGATCTATATCTCTAGATCTCTATATCTCTATAGAGAGAGAGATAGATATATAGACACAGCCTGAGGTGATGTATTCATAACACTTGTTTTATTTGACCAAATGTCCTAAATAAATAAATAAATAATAGCATGCATTTACATCACCATTTCATTTTTATTATGTTAACATTAATATACTGTTATATTTTGTCATTTATAGCTATTTAAAATATTTTCCAGTAAAGTTTGTAAAAAGTAATATTATATTTAATGTCATCTTTGCCGCTCAAAGGTTTGGGCTCACTTGTTCTCCTGATGATAGTCGATGCATCATTATGGTGCATTTGGGCCTCTAAATGTTTAGGAAAGCCCTTTTCTTTGGGCCTGCTGCAGTCTATTTAGTGGTTGTATTGAATAAGTTTAAACAGTGATTTGTTAGTCTATAGTATGTTCAGCTGATATTCTGTGACCCAATTCCAATAGTGCTAATCCTAGACTAACCTATTTCTATTGTGACGTTTTAAGAATAGCTCTGCAACTCACCTGACAGTGTGACCGCTTGTTAAAGGGATTAATGTGCAATTGACACAGAAACAGGGCCCTGTTCCTATTTAAACCTGCACACATTTTGATGCCAACCTTCCAGTTTATTTCACCAAAGACTGTTGATTTCATCTGTTCATATTCAACTGTTGCTCAGAGAGATCTTTGTCTCTTCCTGCTTTTTCAGTTGTCAGTCTGGTTGAACCATTTGTCCAAAAGATTACTCTTTTTTTGCAAACTCATCATACACAAAATGTGTAAAAGGACTCTCTATGACCTAAAATCATGAAAGACCATTCAACAATATAGAGTCGTCCTCTCAGCCATCTGACAGCAACAAATGAAGCTTTTGTGGCAGCAGTGTAGTTTAATACTCAGCTGTAAACTATCCCTATATCACTCTCAAAAAGCAATATGGATCAGGCTCCGAAATTAAATGTATAGCTATTAAATATGTCTACTGTTTTCCATTAAAATATCACTTTGTGTTACAATTTGTTTCCATCCAACATCATAGTAGTTTTAGTTACTAATGGCTAACGACTAATCCAGCCTCCACCCACCTCGCTCAGCGGCAGGTTGTGCTCCTCCTCCTTCAGGAAGTCGATGTCTCTAGAAGAGATGATGCCCACCAGCTTGCTGCCCATCTTTCCGTTGTCTGTGATCGGGATTCCACAGAAGCCGTGGCGAGCCTTGGCCTGGAAGACGTCCCGAACACTCTCGTTGGGGCTCATCACCACCGGGTCTGTGATGAAGCCCTGCTCATAACGCTGGTGGGGGAGGGAAGGAAGGAGATGAGGAAGAGGGCGGGTGAGGAAGAACATAGAGGGGCAGGAGGAGGAGGATGGTGTGGAACAAAAGATAAGCACAAAAGGGAAGTGGATTTAGGAGCCAGCATTGCAGAGAGAAGGAGGGTAATATTAGGTGAAAGGATGTAAGGGATTCAACAAGGAGGGTTGGATAAAGAATATTTGAGCGCTTTCACTGCCTACACCCTAGAGCAGAGGAGCAAGGGATGCAGGGCAATAACACTGCTACATATTTCAAAATGAGAACAGCAAATAAAAACAGAGAAAGACAAAATGATGGTGACGTGAGATGACAGAAAAGATAAACGTCAAAACAATGACTGAAAAGAAAATGTAATAAATGAAATGTAATATCATGTGAGGGAAAAGCCTTAAATAACAGAAGGGACAAGCTGAGCAGATGAACAAGATAAAAGAGTAAAGTAAAAGATGAAACCATACAGAGAGTCATCATCACTACCTTGACTTTGCGAACTTCATTGGCCTGGAACTCTGGCGTGCAGTTGTGGTGGATGAAGCCGATGCCACCCGTTAGCTGCGAGGAGACAACGCATCAGTGTGTTTGTGAGCGAGTCTCACGGCGCGCCAACGCGACAGTAGGGACAATAAACAATCGAATGAAACCGCGCGCTCGCGTGTTGTGCTACTTACCGCCATAGCGATGGCCAAGTTGGCCTCTGTGACGGTGTCCATGGGGGAGGAGACGAAGGGCGTTTTCATGGTGATCTGTTTGGTGAGCGCTGAGGTCAAGTCCTGGACAGAAGATGTCACGTTAACACGCCGAGAAGCTACTCCTGAGTAACACGACTCTTAGGATACTCAAAGTAAAACGTGCTTAAGCAGATGAATCCGTGTAAACCACCTCAAAGACAGGACATCCGTTAAGACGTTTACACTGGAATATTAATTTATAATTAAGCTTTATATCCATGTATCCTTTTTTACAGAAAACATTTTGACATGTCACATTAGGAAAACACAAGTGTAAGAAAAGTATGGTTTAATCTTCGATGTCAGGGTCCTGGTATTGATTGGTCGTGGTTAAGTTCTCTCACTTAAGGACTCTTGTGCTACTTCATTTAAGAACTAACCATCATCCCATCAATGTCACAGCGGGCGGCCATATTTTACTGCTTTGGCTCGTTGAGGCATCGTTTGCCTAATTCAGGGAATATTTGTGCTGGGAGGCACACAGCTGATAATCCTCACTCTCGCCCCACGCGCTCCCATCCCGGACATCATCCCACATTCAGATTAGTTTAATACCAGCCACATTAAACCGATGTTATGCATTGGCAAATATGTGTCGTTCCTCGCGACTCACCACTTGTTCTGATGAGAAGTCAATGTAGCCTGGCAGAATCAGAAAGTCACTGGAGAGAGAGACGAGAAAGATGAGGTTAAGAGCAGCTTCTTACAAGACCTGTCCGTCCTAACGGCTTTGAATCCGTCTCAGCCGGTCAAACATGAGGACAGATTTAATTCACAAAGCTGAGAAATAAAACCTAAAGAGTAACACCAAACCATTACCGTTTGACCCACCACGCGCTACACTGTACCATTAAGAGAACTGAGATTGTAAAAATCAAATGTGACGCACATTTAATCACTAATACTATACTTTAATAAACTTTCAATAGCATTCAAAGCAATCAATTAAATCAGGGGTTCAGTGGGTCATCAATACACATTTGTTTTAATGCTACCGTAGTTGCCTATTCATCAAACTTACTTTGCTTTACAAAAGCAATGAGTCACCAGTTCTGATTTATCGATTAATCGCCTGGTCTAACGGTAACAACAAATAATTGGTAACCTTAAGATCTCATTTTGCATAACTGGTAGATATATTGATATATTGATGTCAAATACATTATTTGGGACTTGACATTGTCAGCATCTAGTCAGTGCATGGCTCTACTATTTCTTCTTTGTTGTACAGGTACAGCCTGGTCCACACAGGACTGTGTCAGTCAGGACCTAAATATGGAACCCGTGTGTGTCCAGAAGGAATGTGTCCCCCCCGCGCCCTTCAGTTCCAAGAAGGTGTTATTCAGACTGCACAAGTGTGTTCACTTATGTAAGACAGACAGTACTTTACTCATCAGCAATCTTCTTGGCCTGGCAATGTGTAATTTATTAAATTTGAGACACAACTTTCTGAGACACCATATTGGGCTGTGGAGACTTCTAATGTTCGTGTGACATACCTGTCACTTACTGACTCAAGCTGTAAGAGCAGTTATATACTGTCTTCTGTGGCTCTGGAGCAGCTTTCTAATGTCAGTCCACATGAAACATGCTACTGGTTGCAACAAGGTAAATGTAGCACGCAGTGTTTTGATAGTTTTGAGAGACCGTTCCTTTAAAAAGGGGCGGTACGTGTTTACTTCAACAAATAACTGATCTATTATTCAGCAATTAAACTATCACAGACTGTTCCCAAAAAGATGGCTGACTTTCGCAACAGCAGATCCAGTTACTGGACAGCTGAGCCACATTCTGCACCAGTGAGTTAAACCAGTTAAACCACAGGCGCTAGTCTACTGTTAGCACACACAGCTACGTTACATCACAGAGCTAGACGCTGGCTGGAGTGTGTTGCCATGCTCGGCCCGGTTAGTGAGAGTGATCGCGGGGTCTTTACTTGTATGTGAGCCCGTCTCCTCCGTTGAACAGCTGCAGTCCCGACAGCCCATCATCGGGGACGTAACCGGTTTGACCGCTGATCAGGTAGTCCGCCATGATGTCCCAATAAACCCTCAGCAGTCCTTCAGTGTTACAACTAATAACAATAACTTTTAAAAAACCGGCTAAGGCGACGAGAAGACACACAAACAGACAACAAACACAGGCCGGGAACAGAGACCGAGAACTTTCTTCCTTCTCCCCGTGTGTGTTGCTCTTCTTCTCGGTCACTTATTAACGGTCCAACCGGGGTCCTGGTCCGCGCGCCTGTGAGCAGCCGGAAGAGTCCTGAGTTTCTGGTTGTCTGTTAGCGGCTGTACAATGAACATTAGATGTCGGTGTGAACGCGCGTGTGTCTTCACTCGGGTCTCTCTACCAGCCAGAGCTGGGCGCTCATGTTCTTTCTGCAGCTCCCTCAGACACGTGCATTATTTCCTTGGCGTCGGTTTCCGACACTGACGCCACTTCCGGTTGCCAGGCCCCCTTATTTTTTTTTCTTCTCAGAGAGGATAGCTTTTGCTATTATATAGCTTATTGAGAATGCGAGTTACTATTTTAGTGTCATAACTGAAAAAAAAGTCAGCTCAGTGGAACATATAGAACTCAAGATCAATGCTAATATTGGGCTTTAAAATTTAGTACTCTGATCTGTTACTCAAGTCCCGCATTCAAAATCTCCCTTAATCACAACAGTATTGGCATCAAAATATACTTTGTACAGGTCTGAAAATTTTTAATTAAGTACAGCACTTAAGTATATGTACTTAGATACTCTCCACCGCTCTTAAAAGCAAACAAGAGTATCATTCTGAGCTGTCATTTGGAGAGAAGTTGGATGATTTTACAAGTCACAAATACAAATATTGTTCCACTTTATCTGAACCCATTTTCCATTTAACCAAACATCCTGCAGCCCATACAGTGGTTTTATAATGGGATGTGCCTGCCTGCCTGTCCCGCTTTGGAATAAACACTTGAGGGTGCTATCCTCCCCACACTCCATGTTACTGTATTGAAGTTGAAACTGGGTCACACTTGAGAAGCCGAGTCGTTACACCATCTTGGCAAACAATTACGCTTGCCTATATTAGGCCAACAGCGGACACCCTGGGCCCTGGAAGTAAATAGGAGCCACTCTCATGTCAGAGGTGGCCTGGCTTTCTTCAGCAACAACGCAGGGACTGTCGAGAAAAACATGAAATATTTTGAACGTGCAGAATGGCATTTCCCCTATCCCACATGACAGATGACAAATCCACACCTAAAGTCCCAATAGAATCATTGAGTGGCACATTGAGTAATTATGTTAGAAAACATGGCTCTGCCACAGACTGCAAAAACAAGGTTGTACTTATTTATCTCAGCTGCCTTTTTATCTTCAAATGTTATTGGTATTTTCTGCTAAAATCAGTTTCCAGGTGGTATTACTGTTGAAAGATGCACCTAAAGTTTAGGGGTTGAAACTCTTCTTGCGTCAAATGGCCGGTTAAGTGGCTAAGAAATACAAGTTACCTCATCAAATTTCATATAGTTATATAGGTAGGTAAAAACTACCACTTATGACAAACACCCTACTTACTTTTTGGAACATACTACCTTCACTTTGATTCAAAGGTTTCGATCGTGTGTGTGTGTGTGTGTGTGTGTGTGTGTGTAATAAACACACGAGAGACAGGGTCTGGTTTTAAAAACTCTCAGTAACTATTTCTGTATTAATGTACAACTGTTGAAAATTACAACCATTTTTTTTTCTTTTTCCTTTTTTTTTTTAAACGATCTATCAACAGCCATTTTCCAGAAGAAAAGTGAACAATGTGAGCAAGAGGAAAAGAAAACGGAGCAAAATAAAGTGAGGGGGTGAATGTAAAGAAAGAGAAGCGAGCACAAGATTGGGGGAGACGAGTGTTTGAGCATGTGTCAATGTGAGCATGGTATGTGTGTGCACATGTAATGCCAATGTCGGTGGTCGGGTGCTGTAGTGTGCATGAACGGCTGAGATTATACTCAGGTTCATCATCTGATCACTGGAGGTGCAAATGTTGGATTTTTAAGGAGGTCTGGCTCACACAGGTCTGGATCTACATTAGCTGAACACAAGAAGCAACAATCAGTATGTAGAGTAGTGGTACTTGGACAAAAATGACGAGCAACTATTTGCTGGCAGTAGTAGGTCAGGTACTAACAAACAAAAGGGGAAGGTGTGTTTATTGTGGCAAAAAAAAACAAAAACCTTTTAATTTAAATACATCCATCTTATTCTTACATACTTTGTTTACGTGAACATGCATGATACGTTGGACAATGCTGTATTTAAAGGAGTATGTGGGACTGTGAAGTCACCATTTGTCCACAGTAAACACACCATATACACGTTTATGGCAGAATATTAAAAATAAAACACCTATACAATGAAAGGTCTTCATAGTCTGCCATTGTGGAGTTGCACCTGTCCTGGTACATAGGCGATGACACGTTTCGTTTAGAAAAATCACTTCAACAGCCACTCAATCATATTTTCTGTTATCAATTTCGTTTTTATATATGTCAATTAAACTGTTGCAGCTTAGGAGGCAACTGAAATTTAAATGTGCCCGGAAAAGCAACTTTCGTGTGTTCTGGCCTATTTTTATTATATGGTTCAATAAGTACTACAGGTACAACTGCCAGCAAGTACCCCCTAGTCATTATGGTGTACTTGAAACCACCAAATACAGATCAACAATCAGCACAGTTTCCTTAAGGAAATGTATTCCATCCCCTACATCTTCCTTGTCTGTTAAGCAGAACAAAAGCGTCTCAATCATTTTACCTTCTTTCTCTAATGAACATTCCAGCATCACAGGAGCTCTGACGCTCTCAACACGCAACATGTTTATTCTAGCTACTTGTGTTAAGTGTCCAAATGGTTGATGTGGAATTAAAGCATACAAACTGTTTTCAGACACACGACAAGACCTTAAAATTTGACCTTTATGATCAGATCTGAAAAGCTGTAACCACGGTGAATGTGACGCTCTGGAGCCAAAACGTGTAAATGAGGTGTGGACGAGAACGAGAGGAGGAAGAGGGAGATACAATCGTGCCTTTCTGTGACCCTGCAGCATTATGGGAGCGAGAGGAGGGAAAGACGGAAAGAAAGAAGTGAATGAGCGAGTGTAGAAGCAAAAGGAGGGGGGGGGGGGGTATGACTGCACCAAGGGATGGTCATGGAAGGAAGCAAAGAGGAGAAGTAAGGAGGGAGATGCTGGTGCTTTGCAGTCGCGATGGAGCTTCAGGTGTCTTGGAAACCGTTCAGCAGCGTGCGTCGCTTCTTCTCAGCAATGTGCATCTGATTCTCCAGATCCTGTATAAAAAAAACAAAAAAAAAAAAACAGTTATTATTGTTGAAGACTCTTCCAAAAGAAAACATGGACCAAATAAAAAGTAGTCGGAAGTGATTCCTTTGCTCTTTTCTCAAATCCTTGCTTTTTAGTCTACAGCCAGGTAGACAGTAGTAGTACTTAGAGCTAAATGCTAATTTCATTGGCTAACACACTCACAATGACGATGTTAACCTGCTGATAACTAGCTGGTTTAAGATATACCATGTTCACCATCTTAGTTTAGTGTATTGTCATGATATCATTAGCTAATCAGCACTAAACGCAAAGGGGCAGCTGATGGGAACATCAGTAGTTTTGCATGTAATAAATCATAACCCAAAATATCGGAAAAGTTAAATGTTTGACCTGATGATGGCGCTTGATGAAAAGTCAGAGGATCACCAAAGTTATTACAAATCATTCTTCGATAATAATATATCCAGTATTACCCCTCTTACCCCTCTGTCGCTGGAGCTGATGTCCCCCTCGCCTCCCAACACTCCCCTCTCGTAGGTGTCGGCACGCTCCACCTTCCACGACAGGTTTTCTATTTCTGCCTCCAGCTGGGCCTGCTGGTACTCAAACTGCAGGGAAGGACAGATGAACTAGAGTTACCGCCTCGCGATAGCATGCCTCTTCTGCCCACCAGTCAAGATGTAGTTTACGTCCATGTCGGTCAAATTCATTTTAGACTCTTACATTATTCTACAAGGCGTGTTCTGCAATAACGGACGGACGTTAAGAGGTTTGTTTCTCACCAGTTTCTTGCGTGGGCCGGACTCCATGTAATAGGCATAAGGGTACGTATACTGCAGCGTGTAGCGACACTGGAAACAAAAAGGTAGGAAAATGTTCACTCAAAGTCAGACTGGGACAAAATAAAGAAAGGCACTGTGATCATCTATAAACATGGTCTTCCACTGACTCCAAGACATCACTGGTACACATCTACAAGAGTCTAGGTGGATAATGGATACTTCTAAACCTTAGAAGAAGGTAAGTCCTAGTCTAAGTCATAACACACACACACACACACACACACACGACAGATTTTCACATTTGAAATAAACCAACCATGAGAAAGAAAGTCAATCAGGTGACTTGTCTTTTTTCCAGAACATTCCACAACACAGACGAAGCGTGACGAGGTTGATAAACAAAAGTTTTAATTCCAATGATTCAAACCCCTAAAAGAGTGCTGATGTAACATTTTGTAACACTTTGTTATGAGTATACGTCAGCTGACACGGTTCTCACTCTGGTTGAGCAGCTAGAGGTTAGCCAGCAGGCTTACTGCTCTCGTCCTTTCCACAGAGAGACATTTTTTTAAACCAACTTGCCAGATAACCTTTGTAAACATAGACTTTATAGCTCAATTGTATTCACAGTTTCCTGAATAAATCCTAAACCAAAAACTCATGATTTAATATTTCCGTTGTGTCAATCTCCTATCTCTTTCCCTCTCCCCAACTCACAACCTCTGCATTTAGCACACACACACACACGCGCACGCAGTTCAGTGTGCGAGTACCTTAGCCAGCAGCCGTGAAGCGTTATGCAGGTACTGCCAGTCGATCCAGGTTCCCAGGTTGTTCATCACTCTCTCCTGGATCTTCTCCTGGATCCTCTGGTATGTCTGAGCCTCCAGCTGCAGAGACTTGTTGTGATTCTCCCACTGGAGGGGTAAAAGATTTAAAAATGAAAAAGAAGAAAATACAGAACAAATATTTGTGCTGTAGAGAGAGCTACAGCGAGAGCTATGCTGGACTGCACTTGTTCGGTGCTTCAGAGTGTGTGCTGTGATATTTTTGTCCTGAGAATGGCTTTGGACACAAATATCCCTAAAGGCAGCAGGACAAAATCTGACGAGCGTTAATCTCCCTCAAATCTGAAAATGAAATAATCTTTCCTAGTTTATGTAAAGCAGGGTTTTGAGACCAGCCTCAGCATTTGGGTAGAAACAACGAAAAGAAAGAAGGCAAAGGTAGAAAAGTGTTTGTGTGTCCAGAGGGAGGAAATAAACCCGTCTTGTATGCAAAGGTTTCTACCCTTTTATTTAATCCATGAAGCATTTTTGCCCTTAAAAAAGGGTTTATGTTTTATGAGCTAAATATAAATGTGGAAAAAAACCACTCACCCTCTCAAAGTAGAAGAGGTATTTCTTGAGGGCCTCTCTGGCCTGAGCCTGCTGGCTCTGGTTGACTATATCAGGGTTTTCTTTGTAGCGGCTGCACTCGTAGTATTCACTGCCGTGAGTCTTCCAGTCACCAAGACACATCCAGCAGAAGTCTTTCAGGACACAAAACACACATTTTTGGACTCCCCACTACATGCATGCATTGCATTACACACTATGTACTGCGTGACACATTTGTATCATAGCCTAAAAAAGGTCAGCTCTGTTCTTAAAGGGCCAGTGTGCGGCATTTAGGGTATCTATTGGCAGAAACGCAATATAATATTCTTGGGTATATTTAATGTATTATCACCTGAAAATAAGAATTGTTGTGTGTGTGGTCTTTTGTTCTAAGGATAACACTAAGAATTTCTTGGAAGTTTCGCCAATTTTGTGTCACAATTACGTTTGCTGGCTTCTTTTTTTTGTGTGAGGTATGATGCCACTAGGTGGATCTAAAGGGCCCAGAACAGAGAGTTCATGGGTCACTGGATCAGACTGGAGGTGTGAAACTATTAGGAAAACTACTTACCGTGTTTGCACTTGGAGCATTGCTAAAATAAACAGACACATGAGGAAGTCAAATGAGTGAACCAGAAACATGACAAAACAACCACGGAAGTCACAATGTTAATGAATCTGATCAAATCAGCAGCTGAATGTTTTCATACAAAACCATTTAGTGCTCAACGTAAAGCAAATGCATCGTCATACAAGCAGCTTAAAAACTGTATGATAAAAGAAGCACATACCAGCTAACATATCTGACTATCAGTGATCTAACCACATGTCAAACTATTGAAGTCGCAGACTTCAGCGCTCAAAATCCTAATATATTTTTAGCATTTCCTGTGTTCTGGGAAAGAGTGATTTTCATCTGACTCACCATGTGATTGCACCCTCCGTTCTTCTCAATGCAAATATTGCACTTAGGACACTAGAGGAGAAATACACATAAAATATTATCCAATTAGGTTATAGCACTGTATTACAGATAAGTAATATGGACGTTTATGCGTTTTTAAAACTGTCTCGGTGTCAAACGTGATCGTGTCCATGTGTACAAAGTGACAGTATGTGTGAAAGTATGTGCACGTGTAGAGATCCATCATACATCTTTAGTGTGTGCGCTGATGTAGTTGGCCGTCTCCGAGTCATCGGCACATTTTGTCAGCCATTTCCGGACCGTTGCACAGTCTGTGGGTGCGTGGTACATCTGACGGCATTTAAAACTGAGACAGAGAAAGAGACACAGATACAGCGTTCAGGACAATTCTGGACCGATTCAGAAATCACATCATTTCTGAGTAATGGTTCAACCACACAGATCATTTACAGAGCTTAAATAAGAAGGCATAATGTGGTAATAAGCATTTAATTTACTAAAAGGGAAATGCGGATGACCAATCAGTGTTGATGGTAACTGGTTTCCATTGAATCACTAATGTCCTCAGTGCCTGCTATATAGACTATAGCTGAGTGCTCATGCTACACGTACATGCTGCAGCACAATGATTACGTTTATGTTGGCATCGGAGCGCAATTTGAGCAAAGGCACCGCTGGTCATGTTTGTTCCTGGCAGCCCAGCTTCTGGAGGGTCCCCGCCGGTCATTTACCCCCGGCTGCTTCCACAGCTCCGGTCTCTCTCCACGGTATACTCTGGCTTCAGTAAAAGGCTAAATATCCGAGTCAGCCGTACACCGTAAACAATGTATCCTCATCCGTAACTTCCTCTGCACTCGTGTTTTGGGATGTGATTTTCCCTGTTTTGCTGTTGTTGTTTTTTACATAACAGAGCTTACAACAGGTTTAGGAAGTTCTGTTTCTGGTGGCTCCCATGAGAAATACAAGCTGAAGTAGTTGGTAGATCTTCCTTGCATCCAACTGTGTCAATGGACGCAGGAACAGCAACAGATTCTGCAGCAGGAGAATTCAGCTCTCTCATTCAACACAGCAGGCACTGTGAAATGTATTGCTTCAGTCGACTATGTTTACCATCAACACTGATAAGCGACATAAAAACACACCACCAGCTGTGTTCATCTGTCAAATGGACTGACTTATATTCAACTTTTGTGAATTAGTTTTTATCTCAAGCTTGGATTGTATTTTCCTCTTTCTCGCACTGCGTCCAAGAATGTAATCTTATTCTTGGACTAGATCAAAATGTTACAGGACGTTAAATGAGATAAATGAAAACCAGCTGTTATAAAGCTGGCAGGCAAAAAAAAAAAAATCAAAAACATCACACAATTTTACAAAAAAATTGTTTTATTAAGTTGAATTGCTTCGTTAAAGATCAAATCGGCATGCTCTTTCTGTGTGTACATGTGTGTCCTACCAGAAGACTTCACTGCAGCGGCTACACTGCACCCTGCGGGCCCGGGGCTCCTGCACCTTGATGACAATGGGACAGTCGGCACCGGGACATAACTGCAATTGGAAGTGACTCTGCAAGACGAAGAGAGAGAGACAGACAAAGCTTTAGTGATACATTAACAAAATGAACAGATGCATCATGACATTGTGATGAACATTGTGTTCTGTGGATTCTCCAGAGCACCAGGGACATTGTTTCTGGAGAGAGTTGTGTTTATATGTCATATTCCAATATTATTAGCCAAGCAAAAAATTACCATTCACATCAATCTCAATATCAATCACAGAAATCTCAGACACAGTTATCTCAACGCCTGGAAATAATGATCTTTAAACAAACACCAATGTCTAATTTGAGAAATCATAAATATATTTAGACGATAACCCAGCTGGTGAGACAGACAGTGAAGCATTCAGATTTAATGCAGTGTGAAGATTTAACACACAGAGTTTTTCTCCCCTCACTCACTTTCCACATGCCTCCGACGTCTCATTTGCTGTAAATGCAGACCTTCGTGCGGCATCTGAGCAAACAGATTTAGTGCACACACACACACAAACTAACAGACACATATACACACCTCGACATAGTCTCTGAAGAGGTAGCGTCTGTATTTGTCCTTCAGTTCCTCTCCTGGCAGCAACGGCAGGACAAAGTCTTCTGGCATCTGCAGGGAACATTCCTGAGCCATACACGAGATACCTGAACACACACACACACACACAAAAATTAACTACCAAGAGTCAACATGTACACACACTGCCCTACAAAGTCTGCAACTGCTGTTTGTGCGTTTCTAGAGTTACAGTGACCCAGAAACTGGTTCTTTCATCCTTCGTACAGCTGATAGAGAAACACTTATCAGAAGGACTCCGTTAACGGCCTTATCAGAGAGACTGTTAGAAAGTAGCACAGGGGGACACAAATATGCTCACACACGCACATACAAACAACACAAACGTTCCCCCACACACACACACACACACACACACACAACTAAAGGACAAGGAGTCTGGTAAACTGTGTGCACTTTACCACACACATGCAGTGTACTGTACAAAACTCCAAACTGTTCCGTGGACACACCCACACTTCCATCTGCTCTCCTGCTGACACAAGCACACTTTCTCACTCACTCACTCACTCTCTCACACACACACACACACAGGATGCCTGCCAGGTGCATTTTACACGCGATGCGAGTCATCCAAACCTCTTACACCGTGGTCGAATGGTTGAATACTCGATTCTGACCGGCTGTCAATTTATTCCCGATAATGGACACCTACTAAGTAGTTCCAGTTAAACTCTGAAAAAAATGATAATAAATTTGAATATCTTATTTACAATGAGTATAGTCCTTCAGTGCCTCATCCTCTGAACACCACGGGGTGACTGAGCTGCAAGACGTAAGTTTACACTTCCTATTCGCTATTCAACCCGCTAGCTCAGGCTGCGGCCGACAGTACACATGACCTCACATTTGTTCATAAAAATATTGATTTGGGGACAATGACTTTGCTGGATAGCTAGCTTGTCTTGTTGTTAAACATACTGTCAAATTATATAATAATACGCTTGTTTTTTGTCAACTGTACGCAATGTTTACTCTTGCGAGCATGACGTTAGCTTTCTGGCTCATAGCTGAGCCAAAGGGTTCTATGAGCTGGGCGGACTAAAAATAACTTCCTCTGCCAAATCGTATCAAAGGTCCGTCCCATTTGTTGGAGCAGTGAACAACGTTTCCATTGCTGAAGAACCTTATGGGATGGTAAAAATTGTTACCAAACCCTCAGGGTTACCAGGAAAACAAGTTGAATGGAGTTTTTCAAAAGCTCTTTTTTAAGTGATCTAAAATGCTGTTTAGTTGTAGACGAAAGCCCAAAGCGCAAAGAGAAAGCTATGTTTTCAAAAGGACCTGCGTACATGTTTGATAAAGCCTATGTGACTGATAAAGCTTGCCTTGTTAAACTAAATACCAGACTGCAAACCCTGCTGGTTGGGCAGGAAAGCATAGGCTGATACAAACATCCAAAGGACAAACACACACACAAACAGAACTACAGATACACAAACAGACACTTGGAAGTTCACATCAAACAAATCTTGACTCAACCACTCTAATACAAGCTTTGATGACTACACAGAAGCACACGCGCACACACTCTGCTCACCCACTCCCGTGCCATCTTTGACCAGGACAGTGCAGTGCTGCTCCCAGCATGCTTTGCAGAAGGAGTGCTGGCAGGGCAGTGCCAGCAGGGAGTCTCTCCGCACGACCTGTAGACACACACCACACTGGAGGGACTGAGGAGCCTGAAACACAGAAATCATGAACATAAGCCTGCACTGGAGAGCTACAGAGCCACATACAAACAAAATCAACCAGAACAAAACCCCACAGATTTGTTTGATAAAACAGGACACCAGATGACAAAGTGTCCTTACAGTTACTTTGCTGTGAATTAAGGTGCAGCAGTGAATTCGTGGCTACAAGAAACAACTTAATATTGATAATAGGTTCAAAATACTGATTTTATCTACAGTGAACAATGTTGTCAAGGATTATATTTCATTATAGTAGCTTTTACACATTATTTACCAGTGCATGCGTATGGCCCGTTAGTTTTTACTCAGTCGTGTTCACATAAAAGGGAGGAAAACAGTGCGTCGTAAGTTCTCCTTTATTGCATGGGGTCTGTTACTCACAGGGACTGATCTGCAGGTGATGCTGGGCTGCACCAGAGCGTCTGACAAAAGCAGAGACGAGTTGGACTTAAATCTGTGGGGAAAGCAGACAGAACCAAAGGTCACACAAAGACCAGAGACAGAACAATATCAAACTGCAGTGCAAATAATGAGAGGTAGAGAGAGAAAGAAAATGAGGGAAATCATAGAGAGATAATAAGGTAAAGAGAGAGAGGAGGAAAAAGTAATTAAAGTAGCTGAAAAGGCGTGTGGAAGCAGCAGAAGACACATACCTGTCCAGTATTTGTGTAATATGCCAGTGCAAATGCACCAGGATCAGCTTTGCTACTGCTGGTAAAACCTGAGAGAGAGAGAGAGAAAGAGAAAGAGAGAGAGAAAGAGAGAAAGAGAAAGAGAAAGAGAGAGAGAGAGAGAGATCACTGGAAAATGTTGCTTCAGTGACACGCGAGTGGCTTGGCTGCCTCGTCTTTTCACTGTAATGGAAAGTAAGCCGACTCTACTTCCTTCATGATTCTGACCGTACTGTGAACACTAATAACCAACGCAAGGTTTCCTTTTACTTATGTCTTGGTTAAAGAACAAGCTTCTTCCCAAATAAATACAAACATGTAAGACTCTTAGAACCCAGTAGAACTGAAACAATGATTTGATTATGTCACCAAAAGAAAATGCATCAATGACATTTTTAAACAAAAACCGTGTTTGATAAATACAGCTTCTCAAATGTAAACAGCAGCTTTGCTTGTGTCCCACACTGATGTCAATCGAATATATTTTTGCTTTATTGATCACTGACAAGACAAAATAATCTATTTGATGGCATCACTTTGGACTGCAACATTGTTATATAGACCGTAAGATTCAACAATCAATGAAATAAAGAAACAAATGTATTCTGTACCTCCAAAACAAAAAGCTGCACCGACTCCATTAACACCACGCTGGTATTGATTTATTAGCAGCATAGAAAAGTGAAATGCGCTGGAGTTCAGGGACTAACTAAGGCTGATGACTTGATGTGCTGTCTCAGCTGTTACTGTACAGTGACTATGAGATGAAGCAGGAAGATAACTCTATAAGGAGGATATCTAGGGTTGCTTTAGCATATCACCTACAGGCCAGACATCTATGGCTCGTATTAGTCAATGATTCAAAACCAGCAAAATGACTGAGAACTGCTCCCTTCTCTCACCTACTGCCACCAAGAAACAACGGCTCAACTCTGCTAACAGAAGACTGCAGTTGTGCTATGCATTATCATTCATTATATTATTTATACCTGTGCTTTTCCTACTGTGACCAGTCAACATGTCTTCTGTGAAAGGGGCCTATTCCAAAGCATGAAAGGCCATGTTCAACATGATACAACCTCATGAGCACCGTTAGTCCGCCTCCTTCTGTCTTGCTTTAAAAATGTATTAATATTAATGTGTGCACTCGGAACAATGCAAACTGTCTAGACTGCGGTTACAATTCGGTACGTTTTCCCACAACAACAGTGAATGGCCTCACAGACACGCATATATAAATGTTATGAAACCAAAGTTCTGTCGCCCTCAATTTCTTCTGTGATCACTTATTCAAATTAATTTGTAAACATGTCTCAGTGCATGAATAACTATTTTATAACAATTAGTGAGCTTTACTGAAATCATTCCAAAAACTTGTGCAATCCTCTTGTGACAGAAGCAGCAAAATATGTCAATGAGAACAACTAAAATGTGTGTTCTACTAAACATAGTTTCCCTAATCATGGACAGTAGGAGCCTGATGATGCCAATCAGAGTAACCGGACTCTGTCTGTTTAACTCTTTGTGACATTTTAAGTGTGGTTCTTATTACTGTTTCGTGCAATACACATCCTCAAGCCTTAATTTGCTTTAAACTGCTTTACACGTGCTCATCGTAAGTGTACGGTGACCCTACAACCCAGCTACAGACAGACGCTCACCTTCAGTGCAGCAGCCACAGTGTTAACCTCCTCTATCAACACCCTCTGACTCTCTTTGTAGGTCAGACAGGTGAACAGGTACTCCTCCGGGTCGAAGTAGTCAGCGCCCTGTTGCTCCACGTCACTGGCCACCCCCTCATAGTAGGTCGCAATGTCGCCCTGATCCTCCTCGTCTCCTCCATCGTCGTCATCGTCCTCCTCTTCAGAGTTCACCCCAAAGTCTTCCTCGTTGCTGTCCGACGCCTGGCTGTTCATGTCCACAGACATCCAGTCGATTGAATCAACTACCCGGCCAGGTAGACGGCCCGCCCACCTGTCGGATCCAAGTGGTTCAATTGGCTGAAGCTGGTTATTTGAAGCAACACCTCGCCGTGTCTCCCTGCGCTCCTTTCCACCTGCTTGTGTCACTGTTCGGAGACACGCCGCCTTCCTGTCTGCCTCAGCAGCAGCGGCAGAAGCAGAAGAAGTCACACTCCCCGTCACTCATTTGGAAAGCTGGTTACGGGGTGATCTGAGGAGAAAGAAAGGCTGAACAGAAGGAAAGGAGAAAAGGAATGATTAAGTAAGAGAAGAAGAAACAGAGGAAAAGAAAGAAGTGGAGTAACAAAGAAGGAAAAGTCAGAAGAAAAAAAACATGCATACGTGATCAAAGTTGTTTATTATAGCTTATTGTAATTCTAAAATAAAATGCTTAATCTAAACAAGTGGAAGATTAAACTATACATCAAATTGGGGCTGATAAAATGTTTTTCCCAAAACTATGCCTATACGTTCTGTTAATTTCCCCAACTTTTCCAACATATTTTTATACTTTTGCAAGCATGTAGGATTCATATTCAAGGTGGGAACTTTCCATGACTGAAATCAAATGGCAATATAGGGTTTATTTGCTCAGGCTGTTTTTAACATTTCAATGTCTGCTGATGTCTATGAACTCTTGGTCAGGGGAATCTCCAAATAATCACACAGTCTCCAAAGAGAAAAAACAAAGAAACAGTCACAGGCTCCGTCATTGACAGCTCTCTGCATCATCACTACTGGGGATGTTAATTGGATCTGCTGGACAAAGATACTTTTCACTCACTCACTCACACACTCACACACTCACACACTCACACACACACACACGTTGTGTTTCCACTTAACACAATTGGGAGCACACTTTGGGAGATGCATTATTTTAACACTGACAGGTAGGTTACTAGCTGGTGGACTTTAATATTACATTTTCCATGTGGCATATAGATGAAATGATATCTTATTGACTAAAGCCATGCAGAACAACAGAGCTGGTGTTTTACATTCTTTGGAGAGTCTTTGATGACAATATCACTCGAGTAGTTTGGGTCCTAATTTCTGAAAATAAACGTTTGTCTCACTCAGTCTATTTGAGTTCAGAGAGCACGCTAAATTTGCTTTGAAATAGTCGGTCATTACTCTTACTTGTGGCCAAATCTTCCCACCCAACGTTCAATCAGCTTCCTTAAATTGATCCTTAGAACAGATTAAGCAGGGTGGATATCAGTGTCAACTTTGGACGTATCTGAAAAAGCTACGAGTTCCAACACATCAGGTACAGGTAGACACACATCTGAACTGTCTCTAATTTCCCACAAATAATACATGCCTATTGATGAAGACAACTTTGCCAGTGGTGCTCAAAAACCACCAGTCACTCTGTGAAGGGTGACAACATTTCTTCCCTGTTGTGACCACAGATTACACACCCGAGAGGAAAAGAAAATCCACCATGCAATAGATTCTGTAGCAATTTTTGCAGCATTTCGAAACTGGACTGTTCTTACAGATAATTTCTTTGAATAATATATTCTGCAGCAGGCCAACACAAGCTAGTAAGTAACCCGTCAGTTGCTGCTAAACACTTGCAATTTCTACTTAGCAGTTGATCATTTATTACAGATTGTCACATTACAATCCGCTTAATTGGCCAAGCATGTGTGAACAAACAAGGAGTTTGATTTATGTATTTACACACAGTTTGAATAACTACTTACAGGAAGATAAAATACTCCATAATTCAGTTAGAATGCATTCTTAATGTCAACAGTAAAATAGCTCCTGGATTTGCTTTATTCATTATATGTTAATATTATATATTTATACTAGAGAGTGTGGCCTGTTGACAACCTGTTAATTGTCTTTTCGAGCTAGAAGACAAGCTAGCCATCATCTGAAGGCCATAGGTTGTTACTGGATTATGGTCACGGTCCCTCCCAGCCTGCACAGTTGATCAGATCTCAGCTAGACCTACCACGCTCACCATTTGACTCATTGTTCTTTTAGGCTATGAACCTTTAAAATCATCCTCCTTACTTCCTTCCAAATGATCCGCAATTTATTGTCTGGCTGCATCTCTTTCTGTGGCCCCACTTCTGTCTCTAGTTTTGGATTTGAATTCACAAAGACAAGATTTTACATCAGCTCGCCTCTTGCTCACATATCCTGTATTTATTTTTAAATGCACTGTAGATCTGATAAACATGAGTGGGACACAAGGCATGGGTTTAAGCCTTAAGAAACGATTTAAGAGGATTAGCTGACGATGCTTTAGGGATGAGGGAAACAAGACAAATCTCAATTGCAGTTAACCTGGTGACAACAGGAAAGTCATATTGGACACACAACAGGACAGGAAAGCCTGAAATCTTAATTGGAATTAAAACCAAGATAACTGCAAGCACACAACAGCAAAGACTAGATTGATGATATAAATGGTGGCATAGGGTAGGAAACTACATATTTACTTGTACTTTTTCTATAGTTGTAGTCCAATTATTTTGGGGATCTCTTTCATAGAGCCCCAGAATCTTTTATACAGATTTCTCCTATGATTACTTCCAAAATGCTTGAATAAGTCAGTTAAAAATGACAGTACCTAACATCACATTGGCAACTGGACATGGGATTTTACATACCTAACGCAGATTGGGTGATGTGTATTGCCTTGTTCCACCCTAACATTACTCAGCCCTTTGACAGACTAATCAAAGTCCTTTGAATGTATCCAACATTGCTAGAGTTGCACTAGTATCATGCCGAAATGTAACGTTATGTCCTGTAACGTTATGTCCTGGTCAGGATGGTGTGCCCCTTCCAGTGTTATCACTGCTCTATTGTGCTTTCTGAATGTGGATGGGTAGCTTGTGTTTTCTCCTTGCCAAAACGTGTCCTCGCAACATTGACACCACAGATGCACTTTAAGCTTATTTTGACATGTGATGTCCAAGAGACATCGGATCAAGGCAGTTTGCTGGCACCGTCAATCAAAATGTGACTTTGCAAAACATCCAGCTGGATATAAAACAAGGTTAGCCGGGAAAGCCTGGCAGCCGGCCCCGGTGCCAGCCCAGCGGCAGACGAGTGCTCGCATTCCGCCCGGTCCAGGCTAAAAATAGGCAGCCAACTGGGTGACACACATCTAGCTAGGCAAATGTATCACGGCGACTCAGCAGCGCAGGTTTTGGTAACCCGTCTTGGGGGATGGGGAAGAGATTAAGCGACGTAAAAACCGGCTTGGTTGTTGGACATCGGCATATTGGTACAATTTCGGTGCAGTCATAAAACACGGGAGGGGGGTGGGTGAAGTCAAATACACAGCACACTGAACCGCTGGGCAATTTACCATTAGCCGGATTAGCTCCCTGGCTAGCGTACAGGCAGTAAACGTTGTATTCAGCAGCGAAGAAACGGCATGCCCAACTCACGAGTCTGACGAGTTAAACTGTTGGGTACTTGCAGAGCAAACTAGCAAAAGCGTTTGAGAAAAGTACATTTTTTTTGGCTCTAGAATTTAACGTTACAACATAACAGCGAGCCCCGTTAGCCACCCCCTTATCGTTGTCTCACTGTGCCGCCACCTCTCACCCACTCTAGCCCGGGGATTGAGATGTAAACAAGGCCCTCTGGAGCAAATCGACACATTTGCACAACTGCTGCATTTATTTCCGCAGGTTAAAGGCGGAGATATTTACCTCTCAGAGAAGCGTCGGTTCTGTCCGCGTTGACAACCAGGAGTGGGTTTTTTTTGTGTGGGGAAATCGGAGAGACTCTGTCCGCTTGGCTGGTAGGCGGAAGATCGACAGTTAGAGGTACTTATCAATGACGTCACTTCCGCGTTTCTCGTGCCTACCTCCTCCCTCCTCTTGGACCTAGGACATGCAGCAGTTTCAACTTATGCATTAGTGCTGTCCATTAATACTTCAGCAGTATTACAAGAATGAAGCAACTGCAACATCTTACAAATGAACAACCACGGGCTATATTACAGGAGTGTCAGCGGTTCCTTTTATATGAATAACCATGCATCCAAACAACTTGGATTCATCTTTAGTTAATGGCAGGATTTCCTTTTTTTACGACTTTATAAAAAAATCTGATTTTCCAGTGTATTGTAAGTGTACACATATCTACATGACAAAAATCAAAGGAAACCTTTGAAACTCTCCTTTCCCAATGTTGTTTCCCCATGCTTTCGTTCTTCATAATTAGGTAAATATTGCAAAAAACAACACGTATTTATCTTAATGAAATGACACACTTTAATTCCTTAAATACACACATCCTCAACGTTAATCAAATTAAATTAACTGTATTGCTATCTTTGATATTCAAATCATATCACATCCCCATCATTCCCCATATTAGTGATGTATTTGTACATTTACTCAAACGTACTGCACTGTTCCTTAATTATTATTAACTTAATTATTATAGTAACTTTAACATATATCTGAATATTCTGAAGTTTAGACATTATTATCTAAAAACATGTGCAGTGCAAAGTGCTCTTGTTGCTCTGCAGGTGCTGCTGCTCTGCAACCGGATGGAAACATTACACTCAAAGTGTTTTAGCTCTAAAGGTATAGGACCGCTGGCTGTATAAACAATGCATTACCCTCTGCGTTGCTCCTCAGCAGCGCTTGAGTGAAACAGAGGGTTAGGCCACCGGGTTTAATGCTTTGATAATTGGTCTGGAAGGAACATACATCACAATCTAAGCGGAAGTTTGCTGTTTATGCACACAAAATGTCATTCATTAGAGTTCATATTACTACAAAATTACATTACATTACAGTAATTTAGCAGATGCTTTTATCCAAAGCGACTTACAATTCAGAGTCTATCACATTTCTACACCGTAGGCACAGCTACGGGAGCAATTTTGGGGTTGTCTTGCTCAAGGACACATCGACATGCAACTAGCAGAGCCGGGGATTGAACCTCCGACCCTCCGACAGTCGCCCCCATAAAATGCTCTTTGGGTTACACTGTGATTTTTGTGAATGTTCACTGTAAGGAATTGTCCAAATTTCTTGAAAGATATTTAAATCTAGTCAGAAAGCACTATTAGCAATATTTACATTTTTTAGTCCTACGGTCATTTGTTTCATCACAGAATTTGCCATGTTTTTTTTATGCTAGACTTGATCATTTTAAGTTAAAACTTTGTTTTAAAAACATCCAATAAATGCAACAAAAGCAAACAGGGTCAACAAAATCTTTTTCATTTTGTTTGTTTTGCTTTTAACTGTGTTATATCTTAGAAAAATACTTTTCATACAAAAAACGGTTTACCATTTTAAATACAGCCTGCTGTGTACAAAACACGTACAGAAACACAAGGTGAGAAACAGTGACAAAACTGTGAAGCGATGAGTAAGAGGCTGAATGTGAGAGCTGATCCAGAATACAGCAGGAACTAGTGAACCTCCTGGATGTAGCAGCCTAACAGGGAAAGAGAGGTACAGTACAGTATTTGTGAGAAATCAAGACCGGCAGTGTGTGAGCTAAGAAATCATTTACCAACTTCTTAACTGCAATGTTCACGCTTAAACCTCAAGTGACGAGTTACATGGTCCACATGTGCTTCTGTCTGTCTATCTGTCATAAAAAGTGGATCCAACAACCTCAAAATAGTATGACTAGTTCCTGAAAACGTGACAATCAGGAGATAAAATGTTTTCACTTTACAACAACAGTACAAGTTCCTGTTTTCATTGAATCAAGCTACACAGAGCACAAGTAACAGTGGCTGTGGTCCAGTTGGTCGTCACAGGGGAAACATGCTTTTTTTGGGAATTAGATGAAATGAATCAGTAGCAGGTAGTGGATCCACTAGGTTCATTAGCCTGTAGTGTTTGTAGTGTTGTTGGCACACAGGGTTGTTTGTGTTTACTTGCCACACAAGCCGTTAATTCAAGTCGGCATGAGCTGTATTTGCCGTTTTGTGTGCTGAACTGAAAGGGAAACCATGACCACGGGGCTCAAACCAGCGCTGTACTGATCAAGTTTTGGAGCACTGAATACTAGCAAGAGGGCTGAGTGTATCACAGCAGTCGGGGTAAAATGAAGCGCAGTGCATCTTTAGCCCATGTTTAACACACATCTGAAATTGTAAAGACACCTGTTTTCACATTCATGTTGAGTTTGTTCTCTCCCAGGAAACCTGATAACACTCTTCGTAACAACAACATACGTGACAATTTATCACATTTGATATTCAAGTTCTGTTTTTTTGCTCCGTGGCAACTTGGCATGTACTGCATTTCTACTAAGCTCTAATATAAGAAGCTAACAACAGAGTACATGAGCTCATGGGAGGATGCACAGTGATGGTGGAGAAAGAGCAGGTTAAATTCATGTATTACCACCACTGGAAGAAATAGATCAATCTGCAGATCAGTTCACTACAAAACATTCCTCTCCTACTCCTTCTTCTTCCTCTCTTTCTTACAATGTTACAGCCAAAGGTTCCAAAGTTGACTAAACTTGTAAAAAGTGATTTTAAAAATGTGTTACACCTGAGGCACACTTTATCCTGCCTTCAAGGAATGTGACCGTCTTCCAAAGTAAATATCAGGAGCAGTCAGTCAAGTTCTAGTTTGGGAGCACAGAGTAATTATCCTTGATTCAACTAAACTTAAGAATGTTTTTGGCTCCCTGACATCACACTTTCTCAAAGGGGAACAAATGTTTGTCTTGTCCTCTCTTCTCTCGTTTTGTCGTCTTCTTCTTCAGTCCGCTGATGCTCTCTCCGTCCTCCTCTGCTTGTCTGTTCTGGGGCCAGGACATGGCCAGAGTCTCAGACGCCGTCTTAGCTGAAGGACTTCCAGCCTCAACCACCTCCTCATCTGACGAAAGCCCGCCGGCCCCCTCGAGGAACCCCAGTCCCTGGTTCTTCTTTCCATAGCGCTGTTTGAGTCTCTCTCTGATCAGGAGCCCCTTCACCAGCAGAGTCCAGTTGGAGATCACCCTCTTTTCTTTTTTCTGGAACGTGAAAGGGAGGAAAAGTTAATGTGGTGTTTCGATGCCAAGCAGGTTTTAAACAACTGCTTTTGCATGAAAGTAAGCTGGTTCTTATTTACAGAAGTTCTCCCCTCAACTGCACAATCACCATAACTGCATGGTCATAGGAAGTTAATACTTCTACTCAATCAGTCAGTCAGTCTCTCACACACACACACACACACACACACACACACACACACACACACACAC